CGTTCAAAACGGGACGTATGTTCACTTTAGCTATAACCCGGCGACGGCTCCGTAACGTAGTGGCTTAGCAATCAGTTGTTGCGCTGGGGGCCGCGGGTTCGAATCTCGCACGGAACAAATATTTGTATGGCCTACAAATAATTGTTCCGGGTCTGGATGTTTGTCCTTGTGCAATTTATGTTTGTAAACTGCCTCCACGACACAGGAGAAAATCCTAGTGTGGGGGTAACGTTTTTTTTACAATTGAAATTGAAAGATTGAACCCTTATACTTCTTGTTGATTTTTGTATTAGTAGGTAGGTATATTACTTTTCAATACGTGACACGTAAAAATTAACAATAATCAAAAACACATCTACGAAACATCCTATTTATTTATTTATTCTTTATTGCACCAAATATTTGTACAAAGGCGAGCTATCTATTTATTTACCTATAGTGAGTAGGTATCTTTTAAACTCACAATTTTCAATGCTTCATTTTTAATATATAATTAATTATAAAATTTCATAATTAGATAATATATGAAAATACATAATTCTAATATAATCCTAATCTAATATAAAATTAAAATACATTTATCGTTGTACGCTGTGTGTATTTCCATAAATTAGTTCATTGATGTTGAAAAAATAATACTACCTACGTTCGTACCTACAATAGGTGGTGGCGTCGTACATATTTCAAATAAGCAATATATTGAGGCGAGCGGCGTGCCGCCGGCAAAATGCTCAAGGTCGTTCGCATGGAGTAGCCCCTTAAGGGGCTACTCCATGCGAACAGGCACGCCGCTCGCCTCAATATATTGCTTATTTGAAATATGTACGACGCCACCACCTATTGTAGGTACGAACGTAGTATTATTTTTTCAACATCAATGAACTAATTTATGGAAATACACACAGCGTACAACGATAAATGTATTTTAATTTTTTTATTCGGTATATTAGTTGCATTATATTAGAATTATGTATTTTCATATATTATCTAATTATGAAATTTTATAATTAATTAAGTATATATTAAAAATGAAGCATTGAAAATTGTGAGTTTAAAAGATACCAATTCACTATAGGTAAATAAATATATAGCTCGCCTTTTGTACAAATATTTGGTGCAAGAAAGAATAAATAAATAAATAGGATGTTTCGTAGATGTGTTTTTGATTATTGTTAATTTTTACGTGTCACGTATTGAAAAGTAATATACCTAACTACGAGTACTAATACAAAAATCAACAAGAAGTATAAGGGTTCAATCTTTCAATTTCAATTGTAAAAAAACGTTACCCCCACACTAGGATTTTCTCCTGTGTCGTGGAGGCAGTTTACAAACATAAATTGCACAAGGACAAACATCCAGACCCGGAACAATTATTTGTAAGCCATACAAATACTTGTTCCGTGCGGGATTCGAACCCGCGGCCCCCAGCGCAACAACTAATTGCTAAGCCACTGCCCCACGTAGCCGTCGCCGGGTTATAGCTAAAGTGACCACACGTCCCGTTTTGAACGGGACTGTCCCTTTTCTCGGTCACCTGTCCCATTGTCCCCAAACAAAGCTCCGGGACACAAAATTGTCCCGTAACTCGTTGGATGGAAGTATTCAAAGTCAACAATCTTCAACATAATTTTTTTTAATCGAATATATTTTATGTCTACCTGCTACGAATGCTCCGGTAGAAAGAGTATTTTTTTTATTTTGAATAAATTGTGGACGTCTGAAAGAAACACTTACGGTTCCAGAGTTCTAAAGGCGATGTTGTTAACAAAGATAACAATAAAAAAACTTGAGCAGAATTTTATTTTTATTTAAAATCATCACCAACTTTATTAAAGAAAATTTAATCCACTGACAAATGTAATTAATAATTAAGAAAAATATGTTGCATTTAATAATTACCGTCTATACCGAATATAATTTTACAGTGAACACTAATTGTATAAAGTTATAGTTTTTAGAGTATAAATAAACCCATGTCCTGTTTTGAGTTAAAAAATAAATGGTCAGTTTAGTCTTTTTAGTTAAATTTAGTTTTAAAAATTTTTAGTAGTAAAAAGTAGGTATATTAGTACCTACTTATATACTTTTTACCGAATTATACACCTTATGTACTCAATTATTTTTTGAAAAAGAAGAAAAAACAAGCAATAAATAATATACTATATTTTAGCAAAAAACTATAACTTAGTAATACTAATTATAACTTAGAACATAAATGAAAAACTCATAACTGACAGGGCCCGACCCAGGATTCGAACCCGGGACCTAATGATCAGCAGTCGCACTACTACAACCACTAGACCAACGAGGCAGTACTGTACCTAATAAGATATTGTGGTTGGGTGATAATATTGAATTAGCCTTTTATAGTGTAAATTATAATATTTATCGAAATTTTAATTATGGATTCGAACCTTACATGCCAATGGTGCTTCATTTTTTTATTTGCATTTACTTCAAAGAAAATACACGCAAAAAGCTTCATCGCGCAGTAAAAAACACAACAAATATATGTATAACTAATACGAAAAATTATACCCAAAACAAACAAATAATACTACCTATAAATAACCTAATAAGTAATATTATTTATCGACTGATATTACGTGAGTGTATGCGGCGCTGGTCGACGCTCTAACGACACGGGCTTCGCGTCGAAGAGCTCAGGGCTCACTGACTCTAGCAAGCCCGTGAGCAGTGAATATGCCCAGATTTTAAAATAATTTCTTAATAAAATCAAATTTTGGTCTTTTGAAAAAAAAATTACTATAGAAATGTTTATTAATAAATTGTCTATCCATTGGTGTAAATCGCAAAATAAAATAATACTTACTTTACGAGGAGATCCATGTTATCAATAATAATTTCACATTTATGTGGTTTCGTTGTAAGGAGATTATATTAATATTTATTCGTTTTAAAAAAAATCGGATATAGCTTTTATGGAATCAAGATTATGTAGAAATATAATGTGTTTTTTATTTGTTGATATATCTTTTAAATAAAAAGTAGATAGCTTCTAAAAACCGCACAAATAACGACTAGCGCGACATTTTGCTCAACCTGCGCCTTAATGGCTGAAAACGTGCTATGAAAATTTTCGACAAACACGTTAGTCGGCAAATGTCTAGTAGATCGTTTAATGATTATGGATTTGTGTTTAATTGTTACGGCCTAGTTGAACTTCTAAATGTTGCATCATATTGCAATTTGTGGGTGTTAAACAACGTAGACAAACAGGTCAACTCATTTTAAAGGCAACCAATAATAAAGAAATACTAACTTAAATAATTATATGAATACTAGCTTTCCTCCGCGTGAAAGTCGCTCATACCGATTTTTCTATAGTATATTTTGAGGATAATAGGTAACCTAGCCTTTTTAATGTTTCCAGTTATCTGAATACCACATATCGTCAAAATCGGTTGAGTGGCTTAATATTTTCTTTCATAGTTTTTTTCTCCATGTTCGCGGTAACGGGTAAAACGACTAAATTTGTAAATCCTACTTAGTTGTGATGATAGTTTACCTTTTTAACTTAGCCAGACTTCAAACTATCTCAATTTTATATATGGATACTTTAGTATTTATCTTTTAGTAGAAGATTGTACAAAACTTAATTGAGTTGCTGTAAACTCTTAAAACATAAAATAGCATATATATATATATACAAATTTTACAGGTGGTTAGGTACCGGTTACCGGTTAATCACTAAACAAAACTACATCTCTAGCTATGATTCCATTATATACTACAGTTTGCTTAAACCCATAGACTAATATGATGCTACGCATCTTAAACGTGTTCAACAACTTTTTATTTACAACATCGATATATATGTACTACGCACTAGATTTCGCATTCCGAACATTGACTATATTCAACTGAACTGTACTGCAATCCGTAGACTAAACTAATTATTGCGTAAATTGAAGATTTGTGAATTCTATAAGATAATTTTTTATCATTACACTTTATTTAGAAATATGTTTGTTTAGATTAAAATAAGAGTATTTATATTAAATTCTTATATTTATTTTATATTTATTTAATGTCTTCGCGCATACGCGATAAGAATAAATTTATACTTATGTATTTGCAATTAGTTTGCACACTGTTTACAAATAAAATATGCATTAAAATTTAATGATTTATTTTTTTAATGATGATTGTGAACATCGATCAAATCTAAAATGTGCAATTTCGGTCAGTCTGTCAACACAGTTATTCCTTCTCTTTATTTTCTGAAAGAGACGGTCTGTAAAGATTCGTTGTGAACCCATTGCCTTGGAATAAAGTCTGATATTATGTAATATTAAAATGCGTTTGTAACATTTATTTATTGAAATTTATATGACCAATGAGCGAATTGAGTTTCTAGTAGTGATAATACGACGTAACCGCTTGTATATGTGCTTAAGGCGACACCGGTTCTCGAACAAAATAAGGTGGACAGCCATTCTATTGTGTATTATAGTATTCTATGGCTCAACTGGGGTAGAACCACGTTCTCACAGAATGCTAGCGTAAAATAGCAGCTTAATGTTGCCATGTTTCGTATGGTAAGTGTAGAGAACCGGAGACCCTTTTTACTGGAAACAAGGTATTCCATCTTAGTCCTTAGGGGTGACAACGCATCTGTATTTTAATCCTTAATTGAGGATAAATATATATATATAGATAGATAAATGTATAGGTATATATATATATATATATATATATATATATATATATATATATATATATATATATATATATATAGATAAATGTATAGGTAACAGTAACCACTTACTCTGTATGTGTGTATGCTCGTTTGTATACGTCTGTATGCTCGTTTGTCGCCATTATTCCATTAAAAAATAGTAGTATGCAGACACCATAATAAAGTTGCGTCCTCACATTCTTAATTATCCTAAAAAGTCCACTCTCCTGTCATATAAGGCATCATTATACTTAGACATATAGCATTTGTTAACATTATTAATAATTTTTCATAGGTGATTTAAAGAAACGGTTGGAAATGGTGTGCGGAGTGCCAATGTGCCGTCAACAGATATCTGGTCTCGGTGGTTCGCGGGCTACGTCATCCGCATCGCTATCTAGTCTCGGTCTCCAGAAAAACGCCGTACTACGCCTCAAACCCGCCGACCAACTCATGGCTGATGACGAGTAAGTTAATCCATGGTCATAGGTATACTCAATTTATAAGTTTGTCCTGTCGTGACGGTGTGAAAGAACTACTACCCGATATTATTATCCCGTGGGTGAAATGAAGTAGAAGATGGGCAGCAGTATGTTCCTACTAAAAACTCAAAATAATACAAAATTGCGATTGCTGCCTGCCTAGGTTAGCAACAAGGCAATCTATGGGGAGGCCTGTGTTTGTTTTTTAATGACTTTTGGTAGACTGTGATGAATGAGTGAATAAACTATGAGGGTAGGATTATTTGCACTCCTATAGTAAATCTGCTACTAATTTCAAAAGCCAATAATTGAAGGGCTTCCAGTGTATATATCAATTTTCTTTATCATAGGACGGGGCTAGCATGCTTCAGTTAACAACGTGTTATCATTTTATTACTTTTTTATTTAGTAAAAAAGAGATATTTACGGAGTTCCTGTCGCCGTTTCTCTGATCAGAGGAACCGCATTTTGATACAGTAGTAAAAAAATTACGTTTGACAAACTAAATTATATTTAAAAAAAATGAAGATTATTCGATCGACGACTCCATAATGCAGTCGCTTACCATTATGTTACGGTGCATTGTTTTCGTATCCCGCACGGAATTTATGTATTTGTATGACCTACAAATAATTACTGCTCTGGTTCTGGATGTACATCCTTGTGCAATTTATGTATGTAAATTGCCTCCAATATACAGGAAAAATCCTAGTGGGGTAAATTTAAAATAAAAGAATAACATTTAATTTCAACAGAAACCCCTAGAGATATTCCAATAAGAAAATCTGGATTCATTATGCTTTTGTCTATGTAACTAGCAGCGTAACTAGTGCGAGGGTATAGACACTGTGCTCACCAAGCCACTTGCCCTGCATGCAGAATAAATATAACCAGAAATAATTTAATAAAGGCTTGTAAAGTTGTAGAGAAAAATGTTATAGCTTTAATCTAACCCTGCTGCTGGGCAGTGTAATTTAATTTCTATAGTTAATCTAAATTAAAAAACTTTATCTAATTTCTTAGTTTATACAATACTAGCTGTTTCCCGCGACTTCGCTCGCGTAATAGAGTTATTATGTTTTTGCGCAGAACCCTAATTCTCTTTCTAAAATAAAAGTAGCCTAAGTTACTCCTTATAACATCAGCTACTTATCTGCCAGTGAAAGGCCCGTGAAAATCGGTCCAGCCGTTTCGGTGATTAGCCGGAACAAATAGACTGACAAAAATTTAAAAAAATTGTATTTTAGTTATAAGTACCGTATTTACTTTCATATGCATTTAGTAAAAAACTGTAATTTTGACATTACAAACAGACACTTCAGTTTTATTTATTTGTATAGATAAAATTATCTAAGGTTATATTCCTGTGCATGTTAGCAAACTACATGTCATCCAAATATTTTATATCTTAGATGTTGAATTTTGAATGATGCCGGCTAGGATCCAACCCGGATTGCTCGCGTACTGTGAAATTTATGGCGGATGCTTAGAACCTCAGCTATTACAGCTCAATTAGGAAAAAAATAATATCGATGGTCTAGAAGACAAAAGTATTAATTACAGAGATTGTAATTTTTCAGGAGAGCAGTTTATATAAATGTTAAAGCCCCGTTAGTATGTAAAGCTGAGCGGTGTAACGTATCTTATACTTTTGCTATTAGTTAGGGTATTTATCAGTTATACAATTAATTTTAAAGAATTGTTCTCAACTATAAATAAGTACAGGGAAATACTCAGTATTATGAAAAATTGCATTCACTTAATATTTTTGATCATTATTTTGTTATTCAGTAGTTCACTTAGTGCATTTGTGTATAGCATAAAATGATTTTCAATTATTATATAATTATTAGAAATTAAAATAAAATTTATTAAATAAGTATGTTTATTCTTATAACATTCCACCTAAATTGTCATGTAAATTACGTACCAATTTTAGGTCTTAGATATCATTTGCCTAACATTTATAAAACACTTAAAGTTTGTGTGAATTTCAATACTCATAGATAAAGTGGCTTAAAGCTACTTAATACATTTTGTCTATCATGGTTAGATAAGCGACTTTGATTCTTTTGTCTCGTGCCTCACGTTTCTTATTATAAATTTACAGGTTCGGATTATACCGAAAGAGATGGAATTATGGTTTTCCGATAAGTGCAGAAGATACGGCCTATTCATTTAGAATGTTTGGCATTAAAAGTGTAAATCACAAAATTTTGCATTTAGGACGTTTGTCTTCTAAACCATCGATATATATATATATATATTTTTAACTTTCACTTGACAGTTTATATATGAAAATATTATGTATGTACAAAACCATGAAACTTGTTTAACAAGGAACAATGACAGACATCATCGTGAATTGAGAAATGGTAACTAAATAAATAATTCAAAGTTATCTACCATACACGCAACCAAATTTTAAAATTATAATATAAGTGTTTGTACTGTATGGCTTGATTTTGATGACAAGGGAGGCTTGGAATAATTTTAATCTCTTTAATATAAATTTTTGTGACGTTGTTATATTATGCATAGATATATATTATTTACTAGTTAGTGCTTTAAGAACATGCTGTAAAATGGTCCCATTGAAAATCACTAGTATGCTAAATGTGTATCAATTATTATTTATTTTTAAGCTCGCGTAAAGGTCTTCGCTTGCTGCGGCGTAATATGGCGGGTCGTCCATTTCCCTTTAAAACGGTGCTTTGGTTACCTATTCTATTCTTTGGTCTATTCTCTTTGAACTTTGATTAAGAATGTTGTTGTGTTAGGCTTTAAAAAAAAAGACAAAAGATGATATTTCTCTCGAAGTTTCTTTGGCCATTCTTCTCCTGGCATAAGAACCTTTTTTTTGAAACAGTAGTAGATTATAAAAACAAACGAAATTTTTATTTCTTACGTCGAAAAATTTAAAGTTTGTATTTCATTATAATCAGGGTTGCAGAGAGATTAACAACGACGTACACCCTCCGAGTGAAACACGACGAAAAGGAATACACGTTGAAGTATCCTGGCACGAAGACCGTTCAAGAAGTGAAGAATGATATATACTCCCTCACCGATATACCTGTGCGACATCAGGTGAGACCTTGGCTTATCCAATACTGATACACTGTATTCTATCTTATCCTCTCGCAGGCCAAATCCTATAGATACGTGTCTCTTTTTCATTTCATCCAGTTTCAAATCACAACGATGCTAAAGAAATTTTCACTTTCAATAAATATAGTTAGAATAAATTAAAAAACCATAAAATAAATAAAAGTAACCATATTGAATAAAATTATCTTTACCAATCTTACCGATTTATATTAAATTATTCGTATTTATGCCATCTAGCGCCTATTTTACGTACCAAACTGAGAGTCAACCAAATTTTTGTTCGGTAAAATGGCTTTAGAAGTAATTTTACAAAGCAATTTTACTCGAAAGAATATATACTCTTTCTTTTGATTTATCATATATAAATAAATCTTCTTTAAAATCGTTGTAATTTGAAATTCGATGAAACGAAAACGTGACATTAAAAAGAGATTTATTTAGTAGAGGATTTAGCCTGCGAGAGAATGAGATAGAATATACAGTATACAATGTTTCCTGTTGTCTCGGTATCCTCTTTGTGTGGTGCTTTATAGACGGTTATAAAAAAATTACAAATTTATTAAATAAATAAAGTTAACCATATTAAATTAAATTATTATATTCAATTTATTCATAATAATCCACGATTTCATAGCATACCGATTTATATTAAATTAATCGTATGACCTAATCATCTAGAGCCTATCTTACGTACTACTTTGAGATTCAATCAATTTTTGTTTGATAAAATAACTTTATCTATACAATGAAGTAGATGGCGTTTAATGAGATAATATTTTATTTTTTATTCTTAAAGAACTTTACCAGATCATTCTAAGATCAAAGAAAAAGTGAAGAAATTCACTACGACATATTATCTTCTTGTATTGTATTATAAAATCAACCACATTAAATCACACACATTAGATCACACTACCGTACGCTCAGCTGTCACAGCTACAACTGTCGCCAAAAATCCGCCTATGTCTAGCTTGCTTTGTATAATTAAGTACGCTAAAACGTTCACCGCACCAGTGTCTAATCCACAGAGTACTTTTTATTACTGAAATAGAGACGAATCTCAAGCCCAAAAATGAATTCACGAATGTGCTGCCGTCTGGTGGTGTCGGATGGAACAATTTATATTTATCATATAGCTATACTATACACGTAGTATATATAGCTACTATATAGTCCTTTATACTATACTAAATTATTGTTTCCTTTTAGTTATTGTGAGAAGTTTTTTCTAGGTTTTTATAGGTTTTGAGGTAAAAATAAAAACTCATTTCAGAAAGTTAAGTAATTTATTGAACAAAACGTCTTTTTTACATTTGTGGAAATATTTTTTGGCTTTCATTTGAAACACATCTTCATTATTGTGACACATACAACACATAATTGAATATGAAAAAGCGGCAAGACAAATTTAATAAATACTTATTTTATTTTACATAGCAAAAAATCAAAATCTACATGAATTAGTACCAAGATTTTTATTAATTCTTCAACATTGTCTCTATCTAAATATTTTTTAATACTGAATTTGTTATGTCTTGCACTGCAGATACACACACTATAAGAGACTCAGTGGGACTGCAAAGCCACCGTTTACCTGCATATTCCAAAAAGTTAATGATTTCATTTTCTTGTAAGGTGAATATTTTAGCAGTACATTCACTACAATTTTTAAAAACATTTTTAGCACATCTAGCAAAGTATCCACTAACATACTCTAATGCCCCCTTTATATATGGAGCAGTGTTCTCTTTAATATTAATTATATCTACATCCGGGATTGTTTCAAGGACACAGGTTGCAGCAGCTTTGCAGTTATCTGTGATGATAACAGATTCTAAAGCTTTACAATTATCTTTTTCACAATTAGCTCCTGGACATATTGTTAATTAAAAGTGTAGTGTAGGCACTCTGAAAATGTTCTGGTGTTGGATTAACATTGCGGCACTCATAGCTTCTAATGGTTCCAAAAAAGTTTTCAATAGGGTCTTGGTGAGGTGCCGCATCCAAACAGAAGTAATACCATACTTAGTTTCCAATTTTTTAAAAGAATTTATACACCAAGTACTCACTCTCCTGATTATTAGACATTTTATTTATAAATTTCATGTTATTTAATATAGCTTTTGCTTCATTCCACAACTTATGGTGTTCTGAGTTTGGCCTTGCTGGTCCAAGAAGAGGCTTTACATATAGTATTTTCTTTATTATAGCTGCCATTAACAGAATCGAATACCTTGTCAAAAAAGAGGAGAATTTCTGCAATTTCCGCATATTCTCTTGGAAGAATGCCTTTTTCTGAAAAACAAAAAGTTAATTAATCCATTAATAAACACTTGTATTATCAGAGCACAGCAAGGTTTTTGTGACTTTTTTCTTCTTTATTGGCCTATTAAAGTTTACTGCTGGACTTGAGCTTGTCATGCTTGGCAGGCGGCTTGACAATCATAGATCTAGATGTGAACACCTTTGACGCAGCTTGTGCATCGTCGATTTGGATTTTACGTCTGGCGTAAATGAGATGGTTATACCGCCGACTAAACAGAACTCATGAGATTATTTGGCATATCTCTTATAACATAACACCCATGGGACGAAATGAGGTGATGGGTTCTCTGTTTTTATTAACATACAATTTTTAAGACTAAATACATAATTTAATTTAGTCATGAATACATAAGACTTACACTGGACTGATTAAAAGAATAGAAATATTTTTATTATTATTATTCTAATACAAGTACAATAAATTGTGTCAAATACAAATTATTTATTAATAAACTGATATTTTACAGTACACTATTATTATGGTGACGAATTTTTTCAGCACGGCCTATAACATTAAATAAAACAAACAATTAATCATCATCATCATTACAGACCAAACATAGGCCTCTTGCCTCTTCAATAAAAATCACAAAGCACGGTCCTTAGTCACCTACATCATATACCAGGTCATCACTTCAGTGGAAGTCCGCCTAACTTCAAAATCACAATCTTACATTTATTACATATAATAATATATTAATATGGATATCAGCCTACAGCCGTCCATACCAGGCATAGCAGATTACTTTAAAAACATCTTAGAGCAGGTGCAAGAGATTTTTGACAATATGTTTAGTTTAAATCTTATCAAATTACGGAATATACTTACTTCCAGAGTCCATGCAGCCGGGAACACAATACTTTTTGTCTCTAAAACAACACTCAAAATATAAGAATCTTTGTCTCAAACTTTCATAAACGCAATAATTTTAATTATATCTGTATGTCAGATTGGAGGAATTTGCACTCAACTCAATGCGACCATTTTAAAAATGTTGTCAAATAGGTTGTTGAATCTCATAACCACATAGCGTTTTAATTTTATCTTCTTACATCAACAGAGGCGACATCTTGTGCCAACAGATGGATCTAGTACATTATAATACGACAAATTCTAAAAACTATACGTTTGATAGACTTTATATGTTCTTTTGGTTCATCTAAATTTAGTATAATAATAATTGCATTTTTCAAGCATTAATGTACTAAGATTCTATGCCCTGGTCTAATCTACGCCTAGTTTAAGGCGACCTCCTTTCATCGCATAGTATAGGAGTATGACACGTCTAACGAAACTGGATTTTTGATATAGATACATACATACAAATACAAATCTTGAATTTGCTTGCTCAAAAACACGATTGTAAAACTTTGACCGCTTCAACGGTTTTCGATGTGTCGCCTTAAATTACAAATATCCCAACAGGTTTGGACAGGCTGGCCCATAGTAACAGGTTTAGACGACACCGTATTAGCAATGGTTGGGCTAGACCTGCCACAGCACGAACTCACAGTAAAACGGGCGCCGGCAAACAAACAAAAAGAATATAAAAGGGTAAGTTTATTCTATACATGTATGTCATTTTTTTTAAATAATTATGTTGACAAAACAACACACAGTCCATCTGTTGGTAAGTTGATGCTATTGCCATTAGACGTCTACATTTATCCTCGATGTAGATGTTATCTCACTCCTGGGGAATAAATAGAATGCTTCGATATCAGTTAAAAGGATTCCCGGTTATTTACACTCACTATACAAATAACAGCAGCATTAATAAGCTATTTTACGCTGGTACTCTAGACCTTAGGTCCTTTAAGTACCTTAAACCAAACCACTTTTTATACTTGGTGGAGCCATGCTGCAGCTATATTAATAGTATAGTTGTAGCACGAATGGGTCGGCTCGACCGGGGAAGGACCACGCTCTCACAGAATACCAGCGTAAAATAGCAGCTTAATGCTGCTGTGTTTCGTATGGTGAGTGTAGAGAACCGGAGACCCATTTTACTGGAAAAGAGGCAGTCCATCTTAGTCCTCACGGGTGACAACGCATCTGCATCTTGAGTCTTTATTGAGGATAGATATAGATGTCTATGAGCCACAGCAACCACTTACCATCAGGTGGACTGTGTGCTCGTTTGTCACCCTATTTCTATAAAAAAAAAACCAGATCATATGTTTGATCTTACCCCGGCCGAGCCTCTAAGACATTATCCAAAAAAAAATAATGGCTTACTAAAATACTTTGGTAGGTGCCACGTAAACTGCCAGTTGCGATTTCTAGCACTTTTATTGTATATGTGGTCAAGTAACAAGGAATATTGCACAACAAGGATTTATCATTGAACACTGATCCAAACTTCAAACATCAATGTCTCATGAGCACTTTTTGTGGGATGGATTATTTTTGTTACTATGTTATCATATGATACATAAAAAAAATATTGTTATAAATCCATGCACTGTCAGAAATTCATTTAATTTTATCGTAAATTGATTGTTCACAGATAATAGTAGAGAGTTCGGATAGTGAAAACAGTTCGGTAGAGGAAATAGAGGATGGCGGGGACGGATTCACAGCTGAAGACGACATGTTCGTGGATCTGGTTCAGTCGGAAAGATTACAACCGTTGAGTAAGTTCTTCATATTAAATAGATCTTTATACTGTAGAGAATAAACCACTACCTTTAACAGGAATAAATTATAATAATCGTCATTGTCGCATAATTCATTAATTCATTAGCAGCTTATCAAAAATACACCGCTGATCATAGGCCTCACCATAGAATGCCTTATAAGGGGGATATTCAACAGTGGTAGAGCCACGCGGCAGCTTTTGCTGTCGCACGGATGGGCCGGCTCGAACCGGGGTGGTACCACGACCTCACAGAAAACCAGCGTGAAGTAGAGGTTTACCTCTGCGTTTCGTTTGGTGAGTGCAGGTGGCCGGAGGCCCTTTTTACTGGAAATGAGGCATTTTCCATCTTAGTCATCACGGGTGACAACGCATCTACATTTTGATTTGTAACAGAGGATAGATGTAGATGTCTATGGACCGCAGCAACCACTTACCATCAGGTGGACTGTGTGCTCGTTTGTCACCCTTATCCTATAAAAAAAAAATATTTGCCAGAGTTGTCACGCTTGGCAGGCGGGTCGGCAACAGGTTTTTTTCTCTCTTACGACACCCATGGGACTATATGGGCTAATGTATATTCTTACACCGCTAATACACCTTACAACTTTAAGGATACCTCACATGTATAATTTCAATGCGGTAGAGGTAGAGTCTCGATATAACAAGCATATTATGGTTGCAGTATATATGGGTCGGTTTGACCGGGGAAGGACCACCCCCATAAAGAATACCAGCGTGAAATATTGGCTATAATGCTGCTGTATTTTTATTGCAAAGTGTAAAGTGTTAAATAAGCATCTAAAAAGTTTTTTAATTTGCAAATTGTTAATTGTACTATTAAGTTTTCCCTCTCGGATATTAGAGGAGGCATATGCTCTCAGCTGTACAGACTGTAATTTCACATTTTATATAATCAGCAATGGAATTACAAACAAGCGAAAGAAGCTGCGGGCATTCGCTAGACTAATAAAACTTTTGTTTCAGTGTCGGAGCACATAGACGACGAAGCGTTAGGCTGCATAGAGTTCGCGCAACGTTTCCGCGCACGATATGGACCTAACACACCCAACTTCTTCGAAGGGTCCCTCCAAGATGCAATTAAGGAATCTTGTTTAAAACCTGCCAAAGAGGTAATCAACTATGGCGCCATTTCCGTATTATAATCATCAGACTTGTATGAACATGTAACCCTTACATCATCGGGTGGACGTGCCAATATCGTCAGTTTTTGTAAACAAAAAGGTGATCATAGTGCCAGTCATCACTCGTTTTTGAAGCTGCTTGCTTGCATAAGAAGAAAAAATTTTAAAATTATGATTTACCACATTCTCGGTGGTGAATTGGTGAACAAAACATCATGAGGTAAACCTTCATGTTTGAGCAATAAAATGCTCCATTGTCGTCATCATCAGCGTGCAGCCGTTTACTGCTGGACATAGGCGTCTCACAAGGGACACCACTTAGCCCGATAGATAGGAGGCCTGTGACCAGAAATGGGACGTATATAGATTGTAATTTTACGTAACGTTTATAGCCTGTAAATTCTCTTGACTACTTCACCGCGCTTTCGTCAACAAATAATTTGAAAGATATTTTGTGTGTTGCAGAGAAAATTACTAGGTGTGTATCTCCATCACGAACACTCGGTGTTGTCTAACGTGTTCTGCGCGCAGCTACTCGGCTGCGATACGGTGCTGCAGACCCTTGCAGCAAATTTCGTAGTCTACGGCTGGGATCTCACGCATCCAGACAATAATAACATGTAAGTCTTCTATATTCTACTGACGGATTCAGGTTAATCATCATCAGCACCATGGGCGCCACAAAGTACATTATTCGGCTTGAATCATTCAATTATTGTCAAAGCATACAAAATGTTACGTTACGCCAACTTACACAGATTGTTATTCCTTTTAGCCAGAAGCGTTCTAATATTGACGCTAACCTGCACAGAATTTTACCTGTTCTAGCCAGAAGAATTTTAATATAGACGCCATTTTGCGCAGTGTTATTTGTTTTAGCCGAAGCATCCTAATATTGACACTAACTTGCACAGAGTGTTATCTATTCTAGCCAGAAGCATCTTTATATTGACGCTAACTTGCACAGAGTGTTATCTTTTCTAGCCAAAAGCATCCTAATATTGACGCTAACCTACACAGTGTTATTTGTTCTTGCCAAAATAATTTTAATATAGGTGCCATCACGCGCAGTGTTATCTGTTTTAGCCAGAAGCATCCTAATATTGACGCTAACTTGCACAGCGTGTTGTCTCTTCTAGCCAGAAGAATTTTAATATAAAATGCCATCTTGCACAATGTTATCCGTTCAAGCCAGATTTTTTTTAATATTGACGGCAATTTACACAGATCATGTATTTTGAAACGTTTAATTATATTTTTTAAAATTTAAAAAATAAAACTCAATACTAAAAACTAATACGACATTTTCTCGTCCTCCCATACCTCCATCTATACTCCCACACTTATAATTTAAAGAAAAGTATTAAGTCATCTGTCATTTTAATACCTACTAAACTTAAAATTATGGAGGACAAGGTTGGATTATGTTTATCAGTCATTCATATGCGCTTAACGTAGCCGTGGCTTATAATTTTTAGATATCAACTTTGCGTTCAAAATGGGCGGTGCTTATATTTGTCGGGCATCAGGTGTATGCTCGATGTGGCTGAAAATTATACTCGTATTTATCATACATCACTTGTTAGCTCAAGTTGGGTGGGGCTAACATTTATCGGACATTAGCTGTACTGGCTGCTGGCTCCTATATTTATCTGTTTTAGCTGTGCGCTCAATGTGGGCAGAATATTTATTTAATATTTTATTATATTACTTGTGAGCTCAAAGTGGGTGGAGGCTAATATTTATCGAGTATTAGCTATACGCTCAAGATGGGCGGAGCTTATATTTATCGGACATTAGCTGTACGTTTAATATAGCTCTGAGCGCACAACTGATGTCTGTATGTATAGAGACAGAACTTTTATTTATCATACATTACTTATTAGCTCAAGGTGGGCAGGTCTTATATTTATCGGACATTCGCTATGCGCTCAAGGTTGGTGGGACTTATGTTTATCGGATGTCAGGCGCACACACATGGTAGGCGGGACGTGGGCTTCGTGTGACCTCCAAATATTTTTTATTTCTCAAATATTGTATCCAACGTTATTTGTATGTTATGTATTTTGTTCGCAGGTTACTAAACTCAATCGCAAACGCACTAGGTCCTGTAGCAAGTATGACGATACGCAGCATCCCAGTGGACCGACTGCCAGCTTTAGTCATTATTATGCGCGTTCGGTCCAATACTGAAATTTACTCAGTGATCAATGGTTAGCCTGGCCTCCTTTTTATATAATATTACGTGCTTACATATCATATAAATGTATATTGATGATGCACCTAAAAATTTGAAATGATTATGAGTGCTCTGGACTTACTTTATTGTATTATTTGCTAATAATATAAAAGTTATTATTGGAATAGAATAATTTATTTTTTCAATATATATTATAAATAATTGTTATAAAAAAAATTTTTAACTTATTACCACTGACTTTGAAAAAAAACTTCTGTTCTGCGAAGAAACTCCAAGGGAGATGGTTTTGGCGGGAACTTGAACGGTGATGGATTGCTGCTCCTGTATTATTGTTTAAATAATGGTTTGAAGTGGATTTTGATATGTAAAAGTAGTGTGATTTTGTGTATTAAATGTCTGTGCATGTGAACTGTTAGTGGAAACGGTGAAACAAGTGCTCTGATGATGATGTGATTCTCAAGATAAGGTGTCTGACTGTTTAGGCGCCTTGAGATACCATCGCCAATTGTCAGCTGTCTGCTGGCTCAAGTTGCTGTCAAAATCTCCCAAGGGCTGCACAATATGACGCATCAACATATTGTGAAGCATTGTACTATGAAGGATAATTATACATTGTAACTTCAGGCTCAGAAGAACTAGAACCCAGAGCCGTAAAGTCAGTTTTAAAAAAATCCACGGGAGTTTTTTTCCACGTAATATTATACAATATAAAGTAGATTGTACGATTATTTACTAAATTTATTTAAGAAACAGCGACCATTTCATTCCCAGTATTTATCAATTATGTAATCATATCATTATAAGTCTTTTTATAAAATCTTAGTTTAATTATAAATTTAAATTTAGTAAAACAGAGCCCTTGTATATTTTCTGGGACTTTGCTGGAATATTACAACATAAACAATTTGTTATTAGTTTATTTTAACTTCCAGGGAATGTAGGTGTTTCGGAACTAGTCGGTGGTTTAGTTGAGGCGATAGAGCGATTCGCGGCTCAGAGGGAAGAGGACGCGCGACTAGAGAGAGAAAGAGACGCGCGACAACGAGTCAAACGAGAGCAAGATGAAGCGTATCAACAGAGTCTTGAAGCTGACAGGTGATAAATTGTGCTTATTAGCCGGCTTAAAAAAGAAGGAGTTCTCAATTCCAATTAATGTTTTTTTTTGTATATTATGTTACGCGATATCTTCTCCAATTATGAACCAATTTTAATGATTCTTCACATTTAATGAACATAAAAACAAAGGAAAAAGCATATAGTCAGCATGTTAAAAACCTACATTTCAAATGTCTTGCTGCCTAGATACACATACTTAACAGTAAACTATTTTTCTGCTTACAGAGCCAAAGAAGAAATAAAGAAACAACAAGAATTAGAACGAAATCAAGAGCTGGAGCGAGCGGAAACGGAAAGGCTAATGGAGGAGGCAAGAAAAGAGGTATTAGTTTCGTCTAACTTGATTATTTCCAGATGATCTTTAAACCTCTATAGTCACACCCATATACCAATCAGGTATGAAGACAGACCCCAGTATTGGGGCCTGTCGACAGTCTTGTCAATCATTTGAAATGTTCGAAAAAATTATATATTGTCGCTTAAACAAATACCTGAAATAAATTAACTTTATTTCAAATTATCGGTTTGGGTTCCATCGCACATCGAATTCCTTAAGCGCAACGGTAGTGTGGTGATTAATACTAAAATAAAAATAAAACATAGATGTTATTGGTATAAATAAGGCGTTTGATTCAATAAGTCACAAAAACTTTATCGTATAGGTATTAACGACAATGGTTTTAAAATGTTTGAAAGTTATTAATATAAAATAAATCAAACGATTCTTCACTATCAAAGTTTTGTCATTAAGTACGGAGTCCCTCAAGGCTCCATATTGCGTCCACTACTTTTCCTGATTTACGTAAACAACAACCGAGCTTCAGTCAAATGGTGAAATTTCTTTATTATAACTTTTGACATTCCAAAAATGACTGTAATTTAATTTATGAACCCTTACTGATCTGAGTATAATTTATAAGTGGTAATGGTTTATAACTTGATAATTCAATTAAATCCAACAATTTCCTATTTGATACTTGGACTTTGAACTCCTCTCTGAGAAAGGTTTAAAAGAAAAATTCAAAATTTTCAAATAAATAATATACCATACCGTAGAGATACAAAATAAATGGTATCAGTTTTATACATCAGTAAGGTTAAAGACTCTATTGTCAATAATCTCAGCATGTTTTGGTTTTACACAAACTCATTAAACAAACCCTCACGTGCGCTATCATCTATGATGAAATATGATGATCAATCAGGACACTAGTGAATATTTTTGTAAAGTTTTTTTTTATTCCTAACGCTAAACCCTGCCAGCCGTACCTTTTTTTATATGAAAGGGTGACAAACGAACAAACAGTCCACTTGATGGTAAGTTGTTGCTGTGGCCCATAGACATCTACATTTATCCTCGTTTGCGAATCAAAATGCAGACGCGTTGCCACCCGTGAGGACTAAAATGGAATGCCTCTTTTCCAGTAAAAAGGGTCTCCGGTTCTCTATACTCACCATACGAAACACAGCAGTGTTAAGCTGCTATTTTACGCTGGTATTCAATACCAAAATTGCTGTATTATAGTGACAGATAAAAATCCCAAGGAGATTGAAACATTGCTTAAAACCACAAACCTAAACAAAGACGCCGCCTGATGGCACACGGGCCTGATGGCATAACCCATTTTTATTAGACAATGTGTCGATAATTATTAGTGACAATTATTAATAATTTAGTTTCGCCTATATGTATTGTTTTTAGGCGATCTTTAAGTAAAAGTACGGTCCAGCCACCTGGAAATCTGTATTTGTAAGGCCAGTACATAAAAGCGGTTACCGATCTCATGTTATAAATTACAGGCCTTTAACAAAAATTGTATTTATTTGACAAAATATTTGAATTAATTGTTTACCGTGAGGTATATTATGCCGCATTACAGTCGTTTTTACTCACATGAATTTTTAACGGTGGGTTATCCCAATATTCGCTGTTGTTAAAATAAACTTTAATAATCAAATTACTATATTTAAGTCCAGAAAAAAATATATGTCATAGATATATCCGTTATTGAGTGATATTAAATGTTTAAAACACGATACATTGTACTTTGATCGATCGAAAAAAAAAACGAAGCAGCGTCGATTTTAAAACCTTTTTTCGTTTTACATCGTAATTACAGTACGAAATTATATTAAAATTGCATGTACTTAAAGGTGATCGTATTATAAAGTGAATTTAATGGATAATTTTTTGAAAATAAATAGTTTTGTTAACAATTAAAAATTTAAATAGTAAAATGGCTGTCGCGCGCCTCACGCTTAGTGTCCAGCCGGACGTCGCTAAGGTTGGACCTGTGTTAAGTTTTTTAAATACGCTTCTCGCGCTTTTGAAAATGGCATATAAAAAAAATACAAGCGAAAGAAAATGTGAAACTTTCATCACTCACAGAAAAAATCGAACAATGATTCTCAACCGGGCCTAGCACACGTTCACTTGACTTCGTGGAATTTTGATTTGATAACTTCCTCGAGGAACCAAGCGTAGTTTTTATTTATTTTAATTTACCAAATGCTATTTTTTTATGTTCAAATATTTTACTTTTATTCTGAATGTAGAACATTTTGATCTTGAAATCACTCAAGTTTAATACAAAGAGTATAGTAATATATAAGGAAGAAGAGAGCCCTCTTGCGAGTAAAACTGGTGCTCCTTGGAAAAAGCGCCACCTGATGATTGTTACGCTAACTATAATATTCACATGTGTGTGTGTATATACCAATTCACTCAGATTAGAGCACTCTGTGAATGTGTGTGTGTGTATATGTATAATACTCTTTGCCTACCCTCACATTCAATATCCTATATATTTTAAACTTATATTACAAACTTGTGTCTGAAGTCGAGTCTTTGCTTAACAAAGTCTCGGATTGGGGCCGACTAAATCTAGTCCAGTTCAATCCCCAGAAGACACAAGTTTGCGCGTTTACCGCTAAAATGAACCCCTTTGTCGTATCTCCTCAGTTTCAAGGCACTCCCCTTGCTGCCTCAGCCAGTATCGGAATCCTTGGCGTCGACATATCGAATAGCGTGCAGTTTCGTGGTCACTTGGAAGGGAAGGCCAAATTGGCCTCTAAAAAGCTTGGCGTGCTCAGCAGAGCGAGACAGTATTTCATGCCGGCACATCGCTTGCAACTTTACAAAGCGCAAGTTCGGCCCCACATGGAATACTGTTCTCATCTCTGGGCCGGGGCACCCCAGTGCCAGCTCCTTCCACTTGACCGCATCCAGCGCAGAGCGATTCGAATCGTCGACGACCGAGTTCTTTCCGATCGGCTCGATACACTGGCACTGCGTAGAGATGTTGCATCTCTTTGCGTATTTTATCGCATCTATCACGGGGAGTGCTCTGAGGAATTGTTCGGACTAATTCCAGCCGCTCAATTTCACCATCGCACGTCGCGACAAAACTCGCGTTACCATCCATACCATCTGGATGATTGGCGGTCCACCACTGTGCGATTTAGAAGAAGTTTTCTCCCTCGCACAACTTCTTTGTGGAATCAATTACCACCAGCGAATTTTCCGAACCGATACGACTTAGGAACCTTCAAGAAAAGAGCTTACACCTTTCTAAAAGGCCGGCAACGCATCTGCAATTCCCCTGGTGTTGCGGTTGTTCATGGGCGGCGGTAGTCACTTAACATCAGGTGAGCCGCATGCTCGTTTGCCCCCTATTCTATAAAAAAAAAAAAAAAAAAAAAACTATTTCCATTCCAATTTTCTACGAATGTAGAATGTAATTTCTAAAAAAAATTGAAATGGAAATAGTAATAAATGAATATAATAGGTACATATTGGAATTTTTAAAAATTTAATAACACAAACCTTTAGAGTAAGATTAAAGTTAACAATTAGCTATGCATTACTACATGAGTAGAAAATTGGAATGGCACACGGTTAACAGTTTTACAGAAATAAAACAATTATTTTCATAGAGATTTAAATATATTATTAACAGTTATTAGATACACAGTAATAAACTTGGGCACTCAATTTTAAATGATTATGGAAATATCTTAGAACACACCGTTTTCAGCAACCCATTATTATTCGTAAAACGTTTTCATTAAGTAAAATGACTCTAATAAATCACCATAAACTAAATATTTACTGGCTAGTCAGTAGTAACACCATACTTATGTAATTATTCTACGAAATACGAAATAAACTAATACGACATCAAACTTTTGAATTTGGCTTAGAAAGGTTAAACAAAACGAACTCCATTCAATTTGAAAATGATTTGAAACATTCCCGTTTAAAATAATATCTAATTGATGAAAAATGAACTTGGAAACTTTTTCTTTTTTTTTAATTTCATAAAAATATGTAATAATTTTGGTTATTTTTTCGCAACAACCACAGATACAGATACATTTATATTTTCGGCTACAGAGCTTGTAGTACAGACTAATCATTTCAATCGAACATAAAAATAATCGGAACGTATAATTTATACTTTATAAATCATGGATTAAACAACTTTTATTTGTTATGCATATTACAAAATATATAGTTTATAATTTATAAGATAAGTAAAAATAATTTTAATGGGCAGGTGACAAAGATATTAAAGCCATGTAGTGAGTATTAAACTAACTAAACTGAGGAAATTATGACCCGTATCATACACTTGATGGCGTTACTTTCTATGGCCAAATGCCTTACTATGGAACTGTACCCCCCCTGGTTTAATAATCAAAACAATTCAAATTTCACATACACTTGTGGTATTATACCTCTCTCGGTATGTTCGTAATGCCAGGGCCGCGTTTTGGTGGCATTATCCGTAAATCAAAATCATGACGGTGTATTCCGACGACGTGAAATTGATACAAAGCATCTTATAACTTAAAAAAGTTACACGTTAAAAACATAAAAGCGTCCAATTGCGCACGGGCTGTCACACCACTAAGTTATTAAATATGATTATCTAGCGTATTTTATTAACGTGTCCTATCACAAACAAATTAAGAAACTTATGAATAAGTGCACAAAACCAAAAAAAAATAACAATTAAAACTCAACACGTCCTGTATGCGAAAAACGAAAATTAGGTCAAGCGACTCATGAATCATCCCCAAGGACGCCGGCGTCAGACTACTTACTTTCTTACTCATCGGCGCACGCGCCAGAGTCGACAACACAAACCCTCCCGACACCCCGTCACATTCCTTGTCACTTCGCGCATAGAGAATTATGCCTTAAATCACCTATTTTAAGTAAATTTTTCGCTTGTATTTGTTTTCACGCACCCGCAGCGCGCGGTCCCTTTGTTTTTAATTTCGCGCATAAAAATTATGCCTTAAATTGTTAGTCGTAAGTACATTTTTTGCTTGATTTTTTACTTTATTTGAGTAATTAAGATTGGCAACGTTTGAACTAGGTATCTTCGCCTTCACGGTTCACGGGCCATGGGTCTTTGACCTTATAGTATTCATCAGGTGATATCTGTATGCATTTACATGCTGTTGTTTAATATTAAAACGAAAAAAATTCTACCGCGACTAGAATGTTAATTGTTATATTTTTTTTTTAGTTGTGTATGCTTAAAGAACTTTGTGTATGATAGTCTTGTCATTTAACGTGATAACTTCATCGTCACTCGGTATATAGTTGCATTCCATGTCCCCTTGTCGTGTTCGCCATACAGTATTTATTTATTAGTTAGGATCACCTGTTAGACCTATTACCTACCCCCATATGACATTACGCTGTCTCTTTCATAGCCGTCCATAACAATTTTCTTGGTTTTCTCCATTACTTTGGCCCAGTGATCGCTTGTGTAGTAGTTGTATTTTCTATAAATCCTCCGGCGAATCCTACATGGCAAATTATTAGGCGCCTACCTTTTTCCCACCGGCACGTTTCATCTGTCCATGTCCGCGGCACATTACGCCAAACGTCTGCAGGTGTTCTATATACACAGATACATAGATGAAGCGGTTGAATAGGATGCTCCAAGATTAACGCCTATGCGTTATGGTACTTAAGTTATTAGTTTAAATTAGATAAGTATTTAGTAGATAGTAAGTAGGTGGGTAATTATAAGGTAGGTTTTATCAGATCTATAAAACACAGGTACGAATTTATAAGACGATGTTTATTCATCAAACACAAAAATCTCAATAATTTACTACCCCATAGAAAAGGTTTACTTATTACATAATTATCGTTTTGTTTGCTTGTTACGTACAAGATATTTCATTCTAATATAAATATATTTTTGAAAAAATCGTGAACAAACACACGGAATTACGTAGGTACCTATATAAATAACAGCCGAAGATAGTTTTTAATCGCTTTTTGATAAGTGTAATCCTACTTCAAATGCGTGCTTGCCCAGTAAACCTTTGCTTTGACAAACGAAACTCTTGACGTTGGGCTCCATTGTTACGAAAGAAATCATGTTATTAAAAAATATTCGAGTACAACGTGGCGCAACACGAGATCTAATTCGGGAAAAAACCGTAGCGCGAGACGCAGGGCACGTACTGTGTCGACCCCGCCGGGCACCTTCCGCTACATCCTTTGATCCCCTAAGTAATTTTGTTAAAATCAGGGTTTTCTTATCGAAATATTACATACCAATGAAAAGAAATGTCATTGTTCTTAGTTTGTTTCCATGAGTCGTTTTTACAGCTGGGCACTGCACATTTCACCATGGTAACTTAAAATTGGAATAAATACCGTCGAGAGAAACAATTAACGCGCGTAACTTTTCGTGACGTTAACGTCGCACTTGTCATATTTCATACCCGTGCTTACTGTTCATATTCACTAACGCGCTCGCTCTATAGTTTGCTTATAACTACTCTAAGGGTTAGCGTTTAGCTATGTTTCATCAATGACTATAAAGTTGTCCCAATTGGTTATTTTTAATTTCTCGTAATAATGTTATTCTTTGTATTTCATGCCTCTAAATAATTATTTTGAGTTCGTTAATTTTTTTGCATCGAAAGCCAATTCCTTTTCAAATGGTTCTCAATGACTATAGTATCATTGTACACGCCGGCATCTTCTAAACTTATTCGTAACTTCGCTACAATGGGATTCACAGAAATTATAAAATTAGGCGTTTTTAATCTATGATTCATATAATTTATGCAATTCTAAAAATAGAAATGTATATAAACAAATAATAAAATGTAAAGGTTTGATTATTTGTATATTTTTACAGATTGTTCGCATTAGCATAAATTTGATTCATCCAAACATATTCCTGAAATAACGTCAAGCCTAAAAGTTGATTCTGGTTAAATTTTATATATTTTGCTTTGTTTGAAAGATTTGAATTTATATTAGTGATAATGAACTAGACATGTTGTAATGAAATATTTTCATTACAACATGTCTAGTTCATTGGAGCAGCGCGGCGCACTAATTGCTCCATAACCGCTCAGACATGAAAGAAGGGCCATGTGTGTAGACGTAGTATATAGGATATACGTTGAGTGTGTTGTCGTTGCAGGCGCTGAGAGCGGGGGCGGCGGCGCGCGTGCCGGCCGAGCCCGGCGCGGAGGAGCGCGGCGAGGTGGCGCGCATCCGCGTGCGCCTGCCGCCGCCGCACCACGACGCGCTCGAGCGACGCTTCTACGCGACCGACACGCTCGCGGTGAGTCACGTGCACACGCACACGTACACACGCACGCACACACGCACGCACCGGCCGAGCCCGGCGCGGAGGAGCGCGGCGAGGTGGCGCGCATCCGCGTGCGCCTGCCGCCGCCGCACCACGACGCGCTCGAGCGACGCTTCTACGCGACCGACACGCTCGCGGTGAGTCACGTGCACACGCACACGTACACACGCACGCACACACGCACGCACCGGCCGAGCCCGGCGCGGAGGAGCGCGGCGAGGTGGCGCGCATCCGCGTGCGCCTGCCGCCGCCGCACCACGACGCGCTCGAGCGACGCTTCTACGCGACCGACACGCTCGCGGTGAGTCACGTGCACACGCACACGTACACACGCACGCACACACGCACGCACCGGCCGAGCCCGGCGCGGAGGAGCGCGGCGAGGTGGCGCGCATCCGCGTGCGCCTGCCGCCGCCGCACCACGACGCGCTCGAGCGACGCTTCTACGCGACCGACACGCTCGCGGTGAGTCACGTGCACACGCACACGTACACACGCACGCACACACGCACGCACCGGCCGAGCCCGGCGCGGAGGAGCGCGGCGAGGTGGCGCGCATCCGCGTGCGCCTGCCGCCGCCGCACCACGACGCGCTCGAGCGACGCTTCTACGCGACCGACACGCTCGCGGTGAGTCACGTGCACACGCACACGTACACACGCACGCACACACGCACGCACCGGCCGAGCCCGGCGCGGAGGAGCGCGGCGAGGTGGCGCGCATCCGCGTGCGCCTGCCGCCGCCGCACCACGACGCGCTCGAGCGACGCTTCTACGCGACCGACACGCTCGCGGTGAGTCACGTGCACACGCACACGTACACACGCACGCACACACGCACGCACCGGCCGAGCCCGGCGCGGAGGAGCGCGGCGAGGTGGCGCGCATCCGCGTGCGCCTGCCGCCGCCGCACCACGACGCGCTCGAGCGACGCTTCTACGCGACCGACACGCTCGCGGTGAGTCACGTGCACACGCACACGTACACACGCACGCACACACGCACGCACCGGCCGAGCCCGGCGCGGAGGAGCGCGGCGAGGTGGCGCGCATCCGCGTGCGCCTGCCGCCGCCGCACCACGACGCGCTCGAGCGACGCTTCTACGCGACCGACACGCTCGCGGTGAGTCACGTGCACACGCACACGTACACACGCACGCACACACGCACGCACCGGCCGAGCCCGGCGCGGAGGAGCGCGGCGAGGTGGCGCGCATCCGCGTGCGCCTGCCGCCGCCGCACCACGACGCGCTCGAGCGACGCTTCTACGCGACCGACACGCTCGCGGTGAGTCACGTGCACACGCACACGTACACACGCACGCACACACGCACGCACCGGCCGAGCCCGGCGCGGAGGAGCGCGGCGAGGTGGCGCGCATCCGCGTGCGCCTGCCGCCGCCGCACCACGACGCGCTCGAGCGACGCTTCTACGCGACCGACACGCTCGCGGTGAGTCACGTGCACACGCACACGTACACACGCACGCACACACGCACGCACCGGCCGAGCCCGGCGCGGAGGAGCGCGGCGAGGTGGCGCGCATCCGCGTGCGCCTGCCGCCGCCGCACCACGACGCGCTCGAGCGACGCTTCTACGCGACCGACACGCTCGCGGTGAGTCACGTGCACACGCACACGTACACACGCACGCACACACGCACGCACCGGCCGAGCCCGGCGCGGAGGAGCGCGGCGAGGTGGCGCGCATCCGCGTGCGCCTGCCGCCGCCGCACCACGACGCGCTCGAGCGACGCTTCTACGCGACCGACACGCTCGCGGTGAGTCACGTGCACACGCACACGTACACACGCACGCACACACGCACGCACCGGCCGAGCCCGGCGCGGAGGAGCGCGGCGAGGTGGCGCGCATCCGCGTGCGCCTGCCGCCGCCGCACCACGACGCGCTCGAGCGACGCTTCTACGCGACCGACACGCTCGCGGTGAGTCACGTGCACACGCACACGTACACACGCACGCACACACGCACGCACCGGCCGAGCCCGGCGCGGAGGAGCGCGGCGAGGTGGCGCGCATCCGCGTGCGCCTGCCGCCGCCGCACCACGACGCGCTCGAGCGACGCTTCTACGCGACCGACACGCTCGCGGTGAGTCACGTGCACACGCACACGTACACACGCACGCACACACGCACGCACCGGCCGAGCCCGGCGCGGAGGAGCGCGGCGAGGTGGCGCGCATCCGCGTGCGCCTGCCGCCGCCGCACCACGACGCGCTCGAGCGACGCTTCTACGCGACCGACACGCTCGCGGTGAGTCACGTGCACACGCACACGTACACACGCACGCACACACGCACGCACCGGCCGAGCCCGGCGCGGAGGAGCGCGGCGAGGTGGCGCGCATCCGCGTGCGCCTGCCGCCGCCGCACCACGACGCGCTCGAGCGACGCTTCTACGCGACCGACACGCTCGCGGTGAGTCACGTGCACACGCACACGTACACACGCACGCACACACGCACGCACACACGCACACATGCACGCACCGGCCGAGCTCGGCGCGGAGGAGCGCGGCGAGGTGACGCGGATCCGTGAAAAGTGTATGGTGTTAGCCCTTCTTACTTTACAGCTTCATCAAAATAGACTCGTAAGCGAGAACTTACGAGCCATTGTGTGCAACGATCCTGCTGGTGGCGACTGCATTGTCACGCATAGGAGGAGAGTCCTTGTGATTAAAGGAACCTCAGCTTGAACCACTATCGGAATGATGGGAACGGGTTAAATAACTAAAAACGCCCCGTGTCACGAGTATTGAAACTCGTGTTCGAAATAAACACGAATGTGAAATTCACATACACGCACTCACGCGCAAATAGCCTGCCAGTAAAGTGGCCAGCAGAATCAACATTATAGCGTAACAGCGTTAAACAGTAACCACAACAGTTTTAACAATTACGAACTGAAATAGCATTTTTCATTAGGTAAAAGTGGCGTCCAACTATAACGTACTGTAATAATACTTCTAAATACTTACTCATTTACATGGTAGAAACTCTGATTGCCTTCGTCGCCTTTGTTACGCCAATATGCATATTTTACGTGGTAGAGCCATGCTGCAGTTATTTTAGTAGTATAGTTGTAGCACGAATGGGTCGGCTCGACCGGAGAAGGACCACGCTCTCACAGAATACCAGCGTCAAATAGCAGTTTAACACTGCTGTATTTCGTATGGTGAGCGTAGAGAACCGGAGACCCTTTTTACTGGAAAAGAGGCATTCAATCTTAGTCCTCACGAGTGACAACGCATTTGCGTTTTGATTTGCAAACGAGGATAAATGTAGATGTCCAATGGCCACAGCAACCACTTACCATCAGGTGGACTGTGTGCTCGTTTGTCACTCGATCCTATAAAAAATGCGTAGGACTAGGATTACTAGTTCACGCACACAATATTTTAAAAGCTAACGTGAAATGCATGCCTTTCATTGTTAAATAAATACATAGTAGTGCAAACAGAGTGATAAAACCATGGCGACCCTTGTCTCGATATCCGTGGACTTCTTCAACATTAGGGGACTTCACTAGAACCTTAACGCCGTCCACTACCATATAGAGACGGCTAAGCCGGCCTTGCTCTTTTTGACCGAGACGCAGGTGTCCTACCCGGAAGTAGCGTCCTACCGACAATTAGTCCTACCCGGGGTACAAATTAGAACACTTCTTTGTGCCCCGGGCTGGAGTTTGCGTATACGTCAGAGAGGATATCTGTTCTCGACGCCTCGGCAGTCTTGAAGGTGCGGACCTGTCCATCCTATGGCTGCGCGTAGACAGTGACGACCATCCCCGCGTCTACGGGTGCCTGTATAGGTCCCATAGCGGTAATGCCGACACAGACCGAATCATCGACCACGTCCAAATAGCTACAGATTTCTTGCTACCACAGATCCCATCCGTAGAGATCGTGATACTTGGCGATTTTAACGCCCACCACGCTGAATTCACGCTCGGTTCACGTTTAAGCGATCATGCGTGGAGATCTGATTATGACTTTGCCTTGGCATATGGTCTGACACAACTGGTTACTTCGCCTACGCGGATGCCATATGTGGAGGATCATACACTTCCCCTGTTGGACCTTCTGCTGACCTCTCTTCCAGACGGATATCAGGTTTCCGTCGATGTCCCTCTCGGCTCTTCTGACCATTGTCAGATCCGGAGTATGGTGCCATTCACGCTCCCCTCGCGGTTACGTTCTGCAGGTTGCCGCCGTGTTTGGCATTACAGGTCAGCGGATTGGGACGGAATGTGGTCTTTTTTTGCATCCTACCCATGGGGGCGGGTTAGCTTCTCGCCGGATGATCCCAGCGCTATTGCTGACTCTGTCACCGATGTGGTACTACAGGGAATGGAACTAATTATTCCATCATCTATGGTACCCATCGGAGGCAGATCTCAGCCTTGGTTTGGTCGCCCCTGTAAAACTGCATTAAGAAGTAAAAATGAGTGTTATCAGGCCTGAGCTGAGGCTTCTGCGGCTCGGGATGTAAATACCAACATGCTTAAAAAGACGTATAACTTCGCCTCCAGGTCCTCCAAAAGAGTTATTGCCAAGGTAAAGTCAGAGCACATAGGCAGAATTGGCGAGAAACTAGTTCGCCTTCCTTCGGGAACCCGTGCATTCTGGTCTCTCACCAAGGCTGTCCAAAGGAATTTCTGTAAGCCATCACTTTCATCTCTGCAGAGGGAGGACGACTCACTGGCCCACGCCGCAAAAGAGAAAGCCCACCTTTTAAGCTCCCTTTGTGCGTTCAACTCGACTCTTGATAAAAGGGGGAACACACCGCCGACCATCCCGCAGTGTGAGTATTCTATGCCTGACGTACGATTCACACAGTGCTCAGCACGCAATGCACTCCCTGGACATCCACAAGTCGAGTGGGCCTAATGGAATTCCGCCAATTGTGCTAAGGATGTGCGCTCCAGAGTTGGCACCGGTTCTAACGCGTCTTTTTCGGTACTCCTACTCCCTAGGCGTTGTCCCGAATTCATGGAAGACAGCTTTCGTGCACCCGATCCCTAAAAAAGGTAACCGCTCTGATCCGTCCAATTACAGGCCTATCGCCATCACCCCCTTGTTCTCGAAAATAATGGAGTCCATTATTAACTGCCAGCTCATGCGATACCTTGAGGAGCACCAGCTGATTAGTGACTGCCAGTACGATTTCCGTCGGGGTCGCTCAGCTGGTGATCTTCTTGTTTACCTAAGACATAGATGGGCGCAGGCGATCGAGTCCAAGGGACTTAGCGAAGGCCTTCGATCGGGTCTGGCACAAAACGCTTCTTTCGAAGCTTTCTTCCTATGGGCTTCCCGAGAAATTGTGCAATTGGATCACCAGTTTTCTGGCTGATCCGAGCATCAAGGTCGTAGTACACGATGCATGCTCCGATTACAAGCCTATTAACGCTGGTGTTCCACAAAGCTGCGTGCTATCACCAACGCTTTTTCTTCTGCATATCAATGATATGTTGCAAACCGGTAACATACATTGCTATGCAGATGATGTGATGCTCTATATACCGACCATGCCAGAATTTCTCGGGAAAACGTCGCCGAGTACCTGGACAAACTTGTGTATTAAGTCGAGACTTTGTTGAACAACTGACTAAATCTAGTGCAGTTCAATCCCCAGAAGACACAAATTTGAGCGTTTACCGCTAAAACGAACCCCTTTGTCGTATCTCCTCAGTTTCAAGGCACTCCCCTTGTTGCCTCAGTCAGTATCGGAATCCTCGGCGTCGACATATCGAGTGAGGTGCAGTTTCGTGGTCATTTGGAAGAGAAGGCCAAATTGGCCTCTAAAAAGCTTGGCGTGCTCAGCAGAGCGGGAGAGTATTTCATGCCGGCACACCGCCTGCAACTTTACAAGGCGCAGGTTCGGTGGCCTCACATGGAATACTGTTCCCATCTCTGGGCAGGGGCACCCCGGTGCCAGCTCCTTCCACTTGACCGCATCTAGCGCAGAGCGGTTCGAATCATCGACGACCTAGTTTTTTCCGATCGGCTTGACCATGAAGCTAATACAAAGGGGAGACGGCATAAGCAACTGTGCACTGTGATTCTAAGTAGGTCCTGACGTCATCATAGTGGGCGTGGCTTTAGTTAGTATACTGTCAGCATTCGTCCTGTGCGCTTATGTGTTGAAAAAATCGCAAATCGGTGTATTTTCGTAGTATTAAGAAGAAAAAGATGAAGTGTTGTGTTTTATTGTGTAAAAACTACTCAGATAGACGCTCTGATGTTATGGATGGCATCACATTTCATTTGTAAATATTTTTACACCTAATTTATTAAAATTCTATAATTTAATAAAAACTAGAAAAATCTCTTTGCGTCGGCTTTCAAATATAATTAAATATATTCGACACTAGATGGCGACACTTTGTGTCATGTGAACTAAAAATATAAAGGTCCGTAGAGCTCAGTATTGGTAAAATAATCATACGAAGGTGCTGAAATTTGTTTTGCATTCAGACATAAGGAAATTTTAATCGCAAAATATTATTTTTATAGTTTATAACATTTTGTGGTCATGCCGCCATCTACCGTCAAGGTAGCTAAGCTATATTGCAACATCGATATGGAAAGATTCGAGTAGTTTTACTTTTTATCGGTAGATGTAGATAGTGTAGTGGGCGGGGCTTTGCATCCCCTCACCCCGCAAATTGTCACGCGTTGTTACATAGTGAAATTTAATTACAACGTCTCCTCTTTGTATTTGCTTCATGGGCTTGACTCACTGGCACTGCGTAAGAGATGTTGCATCTCTTTGCGTATTTTATCGCATTAACCATGGGGAGTGCTCTGAGGAATTGTTCAGACTAATTCCAGCTACTCAATTTCACCATCGCACATCGCCGCAAAACTTGCGGTACCATCCATACCACCTGGATGATTGACGGTCCACCACTGTACGATTCAGAAGATGTTTTCTTCCTCGTACAACTTCGTTGTGGAATCGATTACCACCAGCGATTATTCCGGACCGATACGACTTAGGGGCCTTCAAGAAAAGAGCGTACTCCTTTTTAAAAGGCCGGCAATGCATCTGCAATTCCCCTGGTGTTGCAGTTGTTCACAGGCGGCGGTAGTCACCATCAGATGAGCCGCATGCTCGTTTGCCCCCTCTTCTATAAAAAAAGAGTGCGGGGTCCAACCTTGTCGAGCCAACCCATTTGTGCTACAACCGTAATATAGCTGCAGTTTGGTTCTACCACGTAAAAACGTTTGTATGTGTGATTTAGCTAAAACCTCTTTTTTTTTATAATTTTGGTACACGTTATTCTGACATTAAAGTTGTTATAATATTATTACATCTAAAATATTTTAAAACTATAGTCATTTTTCTTTATTGCAGGCACTATTAGATTTCCTCGCATCCAAAGGGTATCCACAAGAAAATTACAAGGTCATCTCTAGCTGGCCTAGGAGAGACGTGAGTATTTTACTTATGTATAACAACTTTTTTTACACCAATATTACAACGCAACAGACAACGCATCTTCATTTTGATTCGTAATCGAGGTTACATGTAGATGTCTACGGGCCACAGCATCCACTTACCATCTGGTGAACTGTGTGCTTGATTGTCTGTTGTTAATCTGTTACGTTACCCTTTTTCTACCGACTTCAAAAAGCAGGATGTACTCAATTCGACTGTGTTTTTTTATGTGTGTTACCTCATAACTTTGTTCTACGTGAACCGATTTCGATGATTTTTTATTTGAAAGCTGGTGCTTCTCTTGTGGTCTCATATAAATAATCTAGGTTTGACCAATAGTTTCTTAATAATATATATTGAAGTCGGTTGTACAAAATGTTTAATTTTAACTTATTATAAAAGTAAGAATGACAAACACCTTGTATGGCGACAGACGATTACGCTTATTTCAATATCCATTCTAAAATATTAATCTTTCCCGCAGTTAACAACAGAATCTCACAGCAGCACACTGAAGGCTCTTAAACTGTACCCACAAGAGACCATCATGCTGGAGGAGCGGTGAAATGCAACGCGCCTGCAACGCTCCAGCGTACGGGCTAAAGCAACTGTCGTACGGGTTTCACGCAACTATCCCCACATACTATCCAACACACAAAAGCTTATATCCCAACGGATTATATATTTTTTTCATTCCATATATTTTAGATCCATGATTTTTAAGAATAATACACATTGATCTACAGGCTGATTTGCATAGCTTTTACTAGTTTTTTGTTTCTAATGCCAAATAAGCAAATTGATTAAAAGTGCAGTACTAGCTAATCTATCATTTCAGTTTCAGATCACCATAGCAATATGAGTATGACATATTTATACTTTCTTTATATTTATAATGCCGGTAAACTAATAAATAATAATTTTATAGTAAGAGACTTATTAACTGTATTTAAAAGCCAATTAAATAAAGCACCACAATCCTTTTACCATCATAGGTAAACATTAACTATAATTACAAAACATTTTAATGCAAGGAACTTGATTATGCAAAAATACCACTAAACACTTAACATGAATGGAGTTTCCAAGGTGGCAGTAATATTTCAAGGCAGCCTTTTTCATGTCAAAGGAGTCTATAGTAAATATTTCAATATAGCAATATATCCATGGTGATGAGTGTTATAAACCACGTCAGGTTATATAACACTCATCATCATCATTACATCCTATCAAAAACCCACTGCTGAACAAATGCCTGGTATCTCTAAATTAACCACTCGCAACGTGGATAATTTTTGCATAACTATGTACGTCAAATTGGCTTAACGAAAAAAAAATGTTCCATTTTCTACGGACTTCAAAAAGGAGACGGTACTCAATTCGACTGTATGTTTTTTTTTTATATGTGTGTTACCGATTTCGATGACTCTTTTTTCGTTTGAAAGCTGGTGCTTCACATGTGGTCCCATATAAATTTGATCAAGATGTGACCAATAGTTTTTGAGTTATTCTTAATAATTTATATTGAAGTCGGCTGTACAAAATTTTTAATTATTAAATATCTGTTTAAATACGTATGGTATAATATCACTTAGTTGCTATATCATCTTCTTCAGTTCTGTAGGTATTTATTTATATTATTTTTTTATATATATTATAATCAACAAAATAAACCTCTATAATGACAGTGTGTTCAATAAAGTTTTATAATAATACAATAATTTTCGTCCCACCAGGGCGCAGGCCTCTCGATATGAAAAAGTATTGAAGCATCGTACGCTATGTTGCTTCAATACAGTTTATTCGAGTTAATTTTGTACTATAAAATTTGCGATGTATAAATTTAAAGCTCGTATGATTAGCCGCGGACACAAGTAGTTGAGTCATTAAACAATATTTAGTTTACAATTCCTGGTCGAATTGTACGCCACGCGGGTTATATTATTTTGTAAATTTCATTATATTGCGGCGTTTAAATATTTATTTGGTTTATGGTTGTATAAATTGCTATAGCATAATTTCAATTTCGAAACTCAATAGGGAAATAACCCGATTGTGGCAACACTGTGTTTACAATTTTAGCTCAGTGCTTGCATCTGCCTAAAACTTGCATCCTCTCAATATAGTTTTTAAGTTTCTGTAGCAAATTTTCGTACAAATTGAATTTGAATAAAATGTGCAATGTAATATGAATATTACGAAATTAATCATCGATATAATATGCTAACAATTACATGATACCAATTAGTTACGATTTATTTATCGCTATTTATTATAAACAAATTGTAAATTTTCTATTCACCTTTAAAGTATTACAAGTTTCACCTTTAAAGTATTTATATATTATATAAAAAATTAAAACAACAAAATAGGAAAATGGAATGTTGGGCAGATGCAACATTTAAATACAATTCATAATTTGTATTAGACAATATTTTGATGTGAGACGCCGGACACAATTTTGATGTTTGTAATTTTCCAATGTATTTCAAAATATGAAACAGCATACTGTGAAGTTATTTACTTGATTATTAAACAGACACAATGAAACTTGCACGTATTGTTTTATTTAACTTCCTTTCTCTTTAATTCTTAAACAGTGGTAGAGCCACGTGGCGGCTTTTGCTGTCGCACGGATGGGCGGGCTTGAACCGGGGTGGTACCACGACCTCACAGAATACCAGCGTGATGTAGAGGTTTACCTCTGCGTTTCGCTTGGTGAGTGCAGGTGGCCGGAGTCCCTTTTTACTGGAAATGAGGCATTCCATCTTAGTCCTCACGGGTGACAAGTGACAAAGCATCTGCATTTTGATTTGTTATAGAGGATAGATGTAGATGTCTATGGGCCGCAGCAACCACTTACCATCAGGTGGACTGTGTGCTCGTTTGTCACCCTTATCCTATAAAAAAAAATTCTTATTTATTTGACATTTGCTCAAAAGCGGATTAAATGTCGACAGCGCCCTAAGCTAGCACCACATCGGCGCCTCTCTGGCGGCCATATAATTTGATAAATTACAAGTACCTATTATGCAAATAAACTATGTTACAATGCAGTTAAGTTTGCCCGTCCCATCCTCATAAATGAAAGGTGTGTTCAATAAAAATCTACCCCGGAAGGGTACCTACCAGCATCGATAATCCTGGAGAATCCCTCACTGGGCATTTATATCTGTTCTCGACTGTATCTTAAAAGCAGGGACCAGTCCATCCTATAGTTTTGCATAGACTACGGCGACGACCACCCCGCGTCTATGGGTGCTTTTATAGGGCTCACAGCGGTAATGACAAGACGTACCTGCTTATCGACCACGTCCAAATGGCTACAGATTCCGTGCTAGAACATACCATCCGCAGACATCGTTTTCCATGGCGATGTTAACGCTCACCATGCCGAATGGCTTAGCTCTCGTGCCACCGATAATGCTGGGAGATCTATTTACGACTTTGCCTTGGCATATGGTCTGACACAACTGGTCACTTCGCTCACGCGAATTCCAGATGTGGAGGATTATGCACCTTCCTGTTGAACATTCGGATTCTGCTGATCTCTCATTCGGACTCCGTCAATGCCCCTCTTGGCTCTTCCGATCACTGCCTGATCCGGAGTACGGTACCCATCATATGCTTATTGCAGACTCGATGCAGGCTGTCGCCGTGTATGACGGGATGGGATGCAGGCTTTTTTGCATCCTACCCATGGGGGGCGGATTTCCTTCTCACTGGATGATCCCTACATACAGGCAGCAGATTTCAGCCTTGGTTTGGTCGCTCCTGAAAAATTGCATCGCGGCAAAAGTAGGAGTGTTACAATGACAATGCGTAGGCCCTGGATCGGGATGCATTCACAACCAATTTGTTGTGTCTCCTCAATTTCCGGGCACTCCTCGTTGCCTCAGCCAGCATCGGAATCCTTAGCGTCGACATTTTAAGAGACGTACAGTTCCGCAGTTACTTGGAAGGAAAGGCTAAACTGGCATCATAAAAAGCTTCGTGTGCTTAGTAGATCGAGATGGTATTTTATGCCGGGCCACCGCATGCAACTACAACGCGCAGGTTCGGCTTCATATGGAATACTATTCTCATATATCTCTGGGCCGGAGCACACTCCCTTAAACTCGACCGTATTCAACGGAGAGCGGCCCGAATCATCGACGATAAAGTTCTTTTCGATCGGCTTGATTCACTGGCCTTGCAAAGTGACGTTGCATCTCTATGCATATACCACGGGAATTAATACCATCTTAAACTGCGACATAACAAGAAATTCCGTCCTCTTCATCTCGATAGCTGGCTGTCCACTACTAAGATATTATCTCATTTAGAATATAAACCACAAGTAATTTTGAATTCCCAAATACTGTTACTACTGTGTTTGAGAGTGTATGTGAGTTTGTGTGTGTATGTGTTCGGACTTTAGTGAACTTTTATCGTATCGCATATCTTTAAAAATCATAACTTCGAGCTCGGTAGCGCAGTGACTAAGCGTTTGGCTGCGAACCCTGGGTTTGAATCCTGCAAGGAATTAGTATTCGTAGGCCTAGAGCAGCCATAACCCTAGTGCATGGCATTTGATTCCGGTGGATATCTCCTCAACTACGTTATGTTTTTACCCTGTGGGGTTATTTTGCAATTACCGGCCAAATTTGCAGAGAATGTTCACAATAAGTAATATAAGCAAATGGTGAAGAAAAGTTTTTACTGCTCACCCACACATTCGGAAGGGTCGATCGGTAGGCAAAAACGATGTTGCCCATAAATAACATTCAATTTGGAATGATTTCAAATAAAAGTAGAAGTCTTATTTACTCGTATTTTCAAAAACTGCAATAACGTTATATCATTATTTATATATATGAACTTAAGTTTAAAAGTCAAAACGAAGCCAATCATGAAGTGACAACAGAGCACACAGCCCACCTCATCGTAAATGCACGCTGTGGCCCATAGACTTTACATCTATTCGCGAGGACTACCCTCGTTTCAAGTAAAAAGGGTCTCCGGTTCTCTACACTCACCATACAAAATACGGCAGCATTATGCTGTGCTGTGCTATTTATTTATGCCTTAACATTGTTTAACTGCTATTCCACATTGGTATTCAGTGAAAGCGTGGTCCTTCCCCAGAGTCGAACATTCGTTCTACAACCAAAACATAGCTGCAACATAGTCCTACCCGTTAAAAAAGCCCGTAAAAGTTCACTGCTTAACATTGGCATTTCCTGATGTAGGGATTGGCTACTAAGCCAATTGGCTAAGCTACCGCTGCACTTTTATGTTTCACCTACTAGCGATTAGAGAGCCGTGGTAGCTCAGATGGTTAGCGCTTGCTGTTTGACAGTACGCGAGAAACAAAGGAAATTGTTAATTACTTACAATTTTAAGTGCTGATTTACCACGTGCTCGGCAGTGAAGGAAAACATCGTGAGGAAACCTGCATGTCTGACAAATAAGAAAAAATATATGTATATTTCGAAGAGATGTGAAATTCGCCAACACGCATTGGGGCAGCGCGACGGAACTTTCCTTGCCCTAAAACCCTATCAGAAGTGAGAGGAGGCCAGTGCCCAGCAGTGGGACGTGTATATAGGCTGTAACTTTACTTTACTTGACTTTACTAGCGATTCGCTCCGTCATCGCACGGGTGATTTCTGGATCTCGACAACAGCGCCACCTCCTGGGTCCAACTATGGCTAAAAACCATCCATGTGACCCTCAAGTACCCCGCACGCTCGTATTTTATATATATATATATATATATATATATATATATATATATATATATAGATATTTTTGTGTTAGGTAGTCACAGTTGTATTGAAATTCAAAGCACAATGTGGTTTTTTTAAAATAATTTATTATTTATTTACTGTGCGTGAACAACAAAATATTAAACGCAAAATTTGAACTTAACTTCATTAAAAGGCTTGTGAAGCTGTAAATTTTCATACAAAATGCGATAACGTCCCCCCCCCCCCCCCCCCCCCCGTAAACTTAGTCTAATATTCATATTTTTTTTTATGTAATTGTTTTTTAGTAATGAAAAATTAGCTTAAATATTGGAAATATTGCATATAATATAAATTATTAGCGTCTAAATATTTTTTTTTTTAGATTTATAGATAGACTTCTTCGAGCGTTTTTTTTTTATTAAATTAAACTGAATTACTAAAAAAGAAAAACGTACAGACATAGATTAAGGTTTACTGAATCTAAGGGAAAATTGTCTTATATATTTCGTAAAGGTTTAGGAGGGTGAAAATGTTACCGCTCGAAAAAAAAATATATAAGCTAAGTTCTGCAAAACCCGCCGCAGAAGAACACAAAAACTCTCCGATCACACTCTTAATCTCATGGCTGTTAGACGGGAGATGAAGCTACATTCTTCAACAGACTTGACAGCATACAGGCATCTGAACAGACAGATCTCCAAATGCACGCGGCGGGACTTACGCAACTTCAATACAGCTCGTATTGAAGAAGCGATCGAGCGGAACCAAGGCTCCAAAGTCTTTGCCAGAGATCTGTCTGCCAGAAAGAGCCAACTGTCAAAGCTGAAGACAGAGTGTGGCAGCATCGTTTCCGGGACACCTGAGATTTTGAGTGAGATTGAGAGGTTCTATGGGCAGCTGTACACATCATCGTTGGAGCCACACGCAAGTGTGAGTAACGATCCAAGAGCGAGTCTCATCCGACACTATTCCGAAGATATCCCGGATGTCCGTCTGAGCGAGATTAGGATGGCTCTCCAGCACCTTAAAAACGGTAAGGCCCCAGGCGAGGATGGAATTACAGCGGAGCTTCTGAAAGCGGGTGGAAGACCGGTACTTGAAGTCCTTCAGAAGCTCTTTAATTCCGTCCTCCATGGTGGTATTACACCGGAGGCGTGGAGCAGAAGTGCGGTGGTCTTGTTCTTCAAGAAAGGTGACAACGCTCTCTTGAAGAACTACAGACCGATTTCCCTTCTGAGCCGCGTCTACGTGCTGTTTTCGAGAGTCATTACGAATCGTCTCGCGCGCAGACTTGACGACTTCCAGCCTCCCGAACAAGCCGGTTTCCGAAAGGGCTTTAGCACCATAGACCACATACATACCCTTCGGCAAGTTGTACAGAAGTCCGAAGAGTACAATTTGCCACTATGTCTGGCGTATGTGGACTATGAGAAAGCCTTTGATTCCGTCGAAATTTGGGCGGTGCTGCAGTCCCTTCAGCGGTGCCAAGTTGACTGTCGGTATATCGAAGTGTTGAAGTGCTTGTACAGTAGGGCTACGATGGCTATCCGAGTACAGAACCAGAGTACGAAACCTATCCAATTGCAGAGAGGTGTAAGACAGGGTGACGTCATATCCCCGAAACTCTTCACCGCTGCATTGGAAGACGTTTTCAAGCTTCTGGACTGGAAAGGATACGGTATCAACATCAATGGCGAGTACATCACTCACCTTCGATTTGCCGACGATATAGTCCTTATGGCAGAATCGCTGGAGGACCTAAGCACTATGCTCAATGACCTCAATAGTGTTTCCCAACGGATAGGTCTTAAGATGAACATGGACAAAACTAAGATCATGTTTAATGTCCATGTCACACCTATGCCGGTAGTTGTTGGGAACACTAAGCTCGAAGTTGTTGACGAGTATGTTTACCTGGGACAAATAGTCCGACTGGGTAAGTCCAACTTCGACCGAGAGGTCAATCGACGGATTCAACTCGGCTGGGCAGCGTTCGGGAAGCTACGACACATCTTCTCGTCAGACATACCTCAAAACCTTAAAACGAAATTGTACAACCAGTGCGTGTTGCCAGTGATGACTTACGGAACTGAGACGTGGTCCTTCACTGCTGGCCGTATGAGGAAGCTCAAGGTCGCTCAGCGAGCTATGGAGAGGGCTATGCTCGGAGTTTCTCTGCGTGATAAACTTAGGAATGAGGATATCCGCAGTAGAACCAGAGTGACCGACATAGCCCAACGGATTAGTAAGCTGAAGTGGCAGTGGGCCGGCCATATAGCTCGAAGAACCGACAACCGATGGGGAAGAAAGGTTCTCGAGTGGCAGCCTCGTACCGGCAGGCGAAGTGTAGGGCGTCCCCCCACGAGATGGAGTGACGACCTGGTAAGACATGCAGGAAGTCGATGGATGCAGGTGGCTCAGGACCGTGTTTTGTGGCATTCTTTGGGGGAGGCCTATGTTCAGCAGTGGACTTGTGAAGGGCTGTAATGATGATGATGATGACGATTTAAAACTCTATCGCACGATACGACGATAGAGCGATATGAAACAGATAGCATTTTTGAAAATATCTCCTCGCAGCGCGTATCGGCGCTTCACAAACCTTTTAAATTTTAAGTGTCCCTATTTCGACCCAAATAACTTTTGTGAAAACAAAGGATCTTAGACCGTTCGTTGGTCTAAGCAAAGGACACGGTTTTTCTTTATTCGTTTAGTTTTATACATTTTAAATTGTTCGCTGGGTAACTTTCGACGGTAAAATTTTATTTTGGAACGTTTTTCTCTTTTTATTTTAATTGTATAGATCTCACATAGCAAAATAATAATGGCGATCGTGAAACCACACATCAGAAACAGAAGTGCCATAGAAAATTCTCGAATGTTCACAGATATGATACTACTATATCGCATTTTCACGCACGGCGGTTTTCTGCTATCCCAAATCGACTTAATTCTGTTCATTAGTCCTGATTCCAGCATCTTGCTTACACTGAAGAATAGAAAATACTTGTTAAGATTTATTTTATCAGTCACCAGAGTATCGGTACATTTACTTGGAAATGTTGTATCAGATAAAGCCTGTTCAATAATGTTCTTGTAATTTAAGGCCTTCGTCACATCAACCCATAAAATTACTAAACAAGGTCTTCTTCCATATTAGTAAGAATGTATTGTAATCATTACGCTTGACACGTTAATAGGCCATCAAGGAACCAAACGTCTGACACCTTTATCGCCCGTTGCTGGTTCAGATACTGATATTATACCTGGTATATATGTATATAGGTAGGTATACGGTATTATACCAAAGTAATATCGAGTGTAGAGTAGAAGGAGAACCATCTTATAAGGTGCGAAAATTGAAAAGTGTCCCAATATATACTGAAAATAGAGGTTCCAAAACCTACCACAATAGCGCTGTCGTCTGAAAAACTACGATATGAATATAGCTGTTGTAGACGGAGTGAAGTCAGCTGAATTAAAATATTTAAAAAAATTCATGACTAGAGTAGTTAGTAAAATGCCAGTATACAAAACCTCAACTATTTACGTAGTACAAAACCAAGCGGATTGGTCGGTCCTTGTTTATTTCTCCATCTTATTCTAATAAATTTTGGCGCTTTTTTTTAATTTATCCTATGCTACTGCAGCGCCACCCTTATTGGACGCGTTTTTATGGACACTTTTCATATACAGAGATGGTCCTCCTTCTACTCTACACTCCATACAAAGTAAATACCAGCCTATTGAAGTCCACTGCTGAACATAGGCCTCCCCGAGTAGCAATGATTGGCAAGCGTGTGGGCAACCGCAGTTTTTTTTAAACTTTTAGTAGTTATTAAGAAGACGCTGCTGCCCATATCCTGATTTTATTTCCCACTGTCGCCTCTTACGCCACCCACGGGATGATATGTGGTAGTGGATATTCTTACACCGCCGCTACACGGTAATAAAACCTTGCGAGCTTATATTTTTTATATCATTACATGATTTAATATTTCGAATTATAAAATTTATCTACTATGTGATCTCATTACCAAATACGGGCAAGTATTCAAAGCAGTTATCACAAAGTTACACCTGGTAGAGCCATGCTTGCAGCTATATTAATAGTATAGTTTTAGCACGAATGGGTCGGCTCGACCGGGGAAGGACCACACTCTCACAGAATACCAGCGTAAAATAGCGGCTTAATGCTGCTGTGTTTCGTATGGTGAATGTAGAGAACTGGAGACCCTTTTTACTGGAAAGGAAGCATTCCATCTTAGTCCTCACGGCTGACAACGCATCTGCATTGTGATTCGCATACGAGGATAGATCTAGATGTATATGGGCCACAGCAACCACTTACCATCAGGTGTACTGTGTGCTCGCTTGTCACCCTTATCCTATAAAAAAAATACCCACCCAATAGCGATGTATTCCTTGTACTGGGAGCCTTTCTTTGCAACCGCGCCCACATACTGCGGTGGAAACAGTGTGACCGCATTCACTTCACATATTTCCCTCTCGCTGAATGTCCTTCTCATGATACGGTAGGCAGCGGAGGTGTCGACGTGGAAGGCGTATCCACCACGCTTTACCAAACTCATGCCGAATTCGGCATCAAAAAAATTGTTCTGTTTGTTTCGAACTATCTTCTTGTTGTAAAGTTCTAAAGGTATACGGTCAGTTGTACGCTGAAATAGTGTAGAAGTAACTAAAAGTAATGTTTTTATTACGCAATATATTTAAAAATATTTGTGACAGAGAAATATAAATTATTAAAAGTTAAGTTAATACATAAAAACTAAAGAAAATAAAGAAATGGTAATAATAATATTTTGTGTCTTTGTTTTATCTGCGTCATTGTTGTGACTGCCAGCCCACCTGCCAAGCCTAGCGAATATCTGAAATCCTTCATACTATATCCAGGTTTTTAATCAGCGGCAAACTGTGCAGTCTTGAAGCGAGCAGATTTTAACATAGGACAGGACTATATTGTAATGACCCCCACAAAGGTAATTCGTGTCAATTTTTTGCCGACTTCCAAAAAGGAGACGGTACTCAATTCGACTGTATGTTTTTTATATATGTTACCTCATAACTTTTTACTGGGTGAACCGATTTAGATGATTCTTTTTTTATTTCAAAGCTGGTACTTCTCGTGTGGTCCCATTGATTAAGGTCAGACCAATAGTTTTTGAGTTATTCTTAATAACTTATATTGAAGTCGGCTGTACAAAATTTTTAATTTTTAACTATTTACGTTTAATTCATGTGTTTATTTTAAGGCCCAGTTCGATGATGGCAACCTCTACTATCATATTTATTAACTGAGCCGGACAATACAGTCAGTGGCGTAGCTACCGCAGGGCTAGGAGTGGCAGTGCCCCGGGGCCTCTAAGCTGTAGAGGCCCTTCGGCCTCCATGACAGCTGTTCGAAAAAGTTATATAATATCCTAGTTGAATAAAGAATTTTCCACCTGATGGTAAGTCGATCGCCGCCCATTAACAATGCAAATGAAATATAATACCAGACAAAATGCAGGTGCGTTACCGGCCTTGTAAAAAGGAGTAAGCTTATTTCTTGAAGGTCCCAAGTACTATCGGTCCAGAAAAATCACCGGTGGTAAACAATTTCACAGAAAAGTGCGAGAAAGAAAACTCCTAGTAAATGCACAGTAGTGGACCGCCAAACTTCCCGATGATGTGGATAGTAATGTGAGTTTTATCGAAATGTGCGTTGGCAAAATTTGGCGACTAGAATTAATCCGAACAATCTTCCCATGATAAATGCGGTATAAAACGCAGATATGTAACATCTCTTCGCAGCGCCAGTGAATCGAGCAATCGAGTCGATCAGAGAGAACTCGGTCGTCAACGATTCGGGCCGCACTGCGCTGGATGCGATCAAGTGGGAGGAGCTGGCTCTGGGGCGCCCCGGCCATGTGAAGCCAAACCTGCGTCTTGTAAAGTTGTCAGCGGTGTGCCGGCATAAAATACTATCCCGCTCTACTTGATTCTAGCAAGCCCATTCAACTTGATGACATTCAGGGAGAGGAGTTCTTTACGCACCGAGCGCTGTGTAAACCGTGCATCCGACTTTGTATCTCCGTTGTCGAGAGTCGAGTTGGACGCAAAAAAGAGAGCCTAAAAGATCTGCTTCCTCTGTTGTGGCATGGGTCAGTGAGTCGACTTCCCTGTGCAAAGATTTCCCTTTGACAGCCTTGGCGAAAGACCAGAATGTTCGAGTTTCTGAAGGAAGGTGAACTAGTTGCTTGCCAATTTTGCTGATGTGCTCTGACTTTGCCTTGGCAATGACAATGACTCTTTTAAAGTATCTGGAGGCGGAATTATGCTAAAACACATTAAAACATGTTAAGAGCGCTGATGTTTACATCCCGGGACGTCGATACGTCAACCCAGGCCCTGTAGCACTTCTGCTTATGGCACAATGCAATTTTACAAAAGCGACCAAACCATGGCTGGCATCTGGGCACCACAGATGATGGAATAAAAAGTTCCATTCCCTGAAGTACCACATCAGCGACAGAATCAGCAACAACTTTGGGATCATCTGACGAGAAGCAAACCCACCCTCGACGGTAGGATGCAAAAAATGACCGCATCATGTCCCAATCAGCCGACCTATAGTGCCAAACACGGCAGCGACTGCGATGGGAGTGTGAGAGCCAAGAGGGGCGACGACAGACACCTCATATCCGTCTGGATCAGCTGTCAGCAGAAGGTCCAACAGAGAAGGTGTATATCTCTTCACAATATCTGAAATCCGTGTAGGCGTAGTAAGTAGTTGTGTCAGACCATATGCCAAGGCAAATTCATAAACAGATATTCTATTGCATGATCGGTTAAACGAGAACCAAGCAACCAATTCAGCGTAGCGTGCATTAAAATCTGTTGTACCACGGAGTCTTTAGCCATTTGAACGAGGTCGATGAGTTGGCTTGTATCAGGATTACCGCTATGTGACCTATTAAAGCATCCGTAGATGCGCGGATGGTCGTCGCTGTCGCTGTGTTATAAGTTGCGCGTGAAAATAGGCACGCCTTCGTCCAAAACTACCCTCATCCAGTATAACGTTTACCAAATCAGGTCAGAAGGAGGCTCGGGTTTAATGTAAGAGATACAGGTACATTCACAATGCGGTCACAAATATTATTTCCAACTGGGATTCCCACTTGCGGCGTACTAGAAAAGTGATAGCATGTTTGTGCCTCACGTTGTTATAACTCCTATGATTACAAACTTAAGAACACTTTTCGCGTAAGCATTTCATTATTACATTATGTATTTAAATAACCGACATAGCGCAAACTGGATCAGTAAGCTGAAGTGGCAGTGGGCCAGCTGTATAGCTCGAAGAACCGACAACCGATGGGGAAGAAAGGTTCTCGAGTGGCATCCTCGTACGGATAAGTGAAGTGCAGGTCGGCCCCCAACTAGATGAAGTGACGACCTAGTAAGAGATGCAGAAAGTTATTGGATGTAGGTGGCTAGGGCCGTACTTTAGGGCGTTCCTTTGGGGGGGCTATGTTAAGAGTAGAATTGATAAGCTGTAACGATTAAATTTTTTTTTAATTAAATTTACGAATTAATCGCGACAAAATCTGTAAAAATGAGTTTAGTTCAATTGTACCCACCTTAAAGTAATCCTTATTGAACAACATGTCTTCTACTCCTACCTTCAGGCCACTTTCTAGCAAATCTTTAAGGTTTCGTATATTATTGTACTCCTCGTTCAAGAGACTTGACAACACGTTTGCGTTGTAAAATTGGTAAATGATCATTGAGAACATGAATGTTACAAATATTATTATCCTTGCTGATATCGCTTTTCTACTGAATGGCATACCTTAGGGACAAAAAAATTGCATTTAATTAACGTTAAAGTTTGCCGTGTAGTGGCGATTAAGAATATCCACTACCCATATCTTCCCGTGGGTGTCGTAAAAGGCGACAAAGGGAAACAGGGAGGAGATGGGCAGCAGCATCTTTCTGATAACAACAAACTTACAATAAAAAACTGCGGTTGCCATCCCGCTCGCCAAGCGTGGCAACTATGGCAAATACCCCTCTATGATGAGAGTAACAAAGAGACGGCCTCCAGTCCCCGGCGGCCCCGCTATTCCTGGCTACGGTGGCGACCATGGTAACGGCGGGGCAGGGGGTGCTAAGAATCTCCGGTGGAGGTTCGGTTGCCACCTATGGCGACTCGACCTGGCAACATACAACGCACGCACCCTGAGGACTGACGATAAGATCGTGGAGCTGGAAGAAGAGATAGACAAGTTACGCTGGCATATTATAGGATTATCCGAAGTCCGAAGAGAGGGGGAGGACACGGTAATCCTTGAATCCGGCAACTTGCTCTATCACCGGGAGGGCGACCATCTGTCCCAAGGAGGTGTCGGATTTATCGTCCACAAGTCTCTCGTTAACAACGTTGTAATGATTGAGAGTGTGTCGAGGAGGCTTGCGTACCTTATACTCAGAACCACCAAACGGTATTTGCTGAAGGTCATACAGGTTTACGCACCAACCTCGGTACGCCCCGATAAGGAGGTGGAGGAAATGTATGAGGATATTTCTAGAGCCATGCATTCCTTCAAAACTCACTATACGGTGTTAATGGGAGACTTCAATGCAAAACTAGGCACAAGAGAGAACGGTGAGCTGAAAGTAGGGAAATTTGGAATAGGGCAACGGAACCCAAGGGGCCAGCAGCTGGCCGACTTCATGGAGAAAGAGGGGCTCTTTATGATGAACTCTTTCTTCCAGAAGCGGCCCCACAGGAAGTGGACCTGGTCGAGCCCCGACGGTTCGACAAAAAAGGAGATTGACTTGATTATGACGACCAGACGACAACTGTTCAGTGATGTCTCCGTGATCGCGAGGGTGAAAACTGTTAGCGATCACCGAATGGTTAGGGGCACACTGAACCTAAACGTTAAGTTGGAGAGGTCTCGTCTAATGAAGTCAACGCTCCGGCCCCCTCGTGCTCTGTTCCAAAATCCCGAAACCTTTCAGCTCGAGTTATAAAACCGTTTTCAGTGCCTAGAAGACTACAATGAAGTGGAAGATATGAATGACAAGCTCGTGCAAACTGTCCATGCAATCGGAGCTAAGTTCTGTAAGACCCGCCGCAGAAGAACACAAAATCTCTCCGATCACACATGGCTGTTAATGTTAATCTCCCGTCTAACAATAAATCTGTTGATTTGACAGCATACAGGCATCTGAACAGACAGATCTCCAAATGCATGCGGCGGGACTTACGCAACTTCAATGCAGCTCGTATTGAAGAAGCGATCGAGCGGAACCAAGGCTCCAAAGTCTTTGCCAGAGATCTGTCTGCCAGAAAGAGCCAACTGTCAAAGACAGAATATGGCAGCATCGTTTCCGGGACACCTGAGATTTTGAGTGAGATTGAGAGGTTCTATGGGCAGCTGTACACGTCATCGTTGGAGCCACACGCAAATGTGAGTAACGATCCAAGAGCGAGTCTCATCCGACACTATTCCGAAAATATCCTGGACGTCAGTCTGAGCGAGATTAGAATGGCTCTCCAGCACCTTAAAAACGGTAAGGCCCCAGGCGAGGATGAAATTACAGCGGAGCTTCTGAAAGCGGGTGGAAGACCGGTACTTGAAGTCCTTCAGAAGCTCTTTAATTCCGTCCTCCATGGTGGCATTACACCGGAGGCGTGGAGCAGAAGTGCGGTGGTCTTGTTCTTCAAGAAAGGTTTCCCTTCTGAGCCGCGTCTACGTGCTATTTTCGAGAGTCATTACGAATCGTCTCGCGCGCAGACTTGATGACTTCCAGCCTCCCGAACAAGCCGGTTTCCGAAAGGGCTTTAGCACCATAGACCACATACATACCCTTCGGCAAATTGTACAGAAGTCCGAAGAGTACAATTTGCCACTGTGTCTGGCGTATGTGGACTATGAGAAAGCCTTTGATTCCGTCGAAATTTGGGCAGTGCTACAGTCCCTTCAGCGGTGCCAAGTTGACTGTCGGTATATCGAAGTGCTGAAGTGCTTGTACAGTAGAGCTACTATGGCTATCCGAGTACAGAACTAGAGTACTCTTCACCGCTGCATTGGAAGACGTTTTCAAGCTTCTGGACTGGAAAGGATACGGTATTGACATCAATGGCGAGTACATCACTCACCTTCGATTTGCCGATGATATAGTGCTTATGGCAGAATCGCTGGAGGACCTAAGCACCATGCTCAATGACCTCAATAGTGTCTCCCAACGAATAGGTCTTAGGATGAACATGGACAAAACAAAGATCATGTTTAATGTCCATGTCACACCTATGCCGGTAGTTATTGGGAGCACTAATCTCGAAGTTGTTGACGAGTCCGAAATAGTCCGACTAGGTAAGTCCAACTTGGACCGAGAGGTCAATCGACGGATTCAACTCGGCTGGGCAGCGTTCGGGAAACTACGACACATCTTCTCGTCAGACATACCTCAAAACCTTAAAACGAAATTGTACAACCAGTGCGTGTTGCCAGTGATTACTTACGGATCTGAGACGTGGTCCTTCACTGCTGGCCGTATGAGGAAGCTCAAGGTCGCTCAGCGAGCAATGGAGAGGGCTATGCTCGGGGTGTCTCTGCGTGATAAACTTAGAAATGAGGATATCAGCAGTAGAACCAGAATAACCGACATAGCCCAACGAATTAGTAAGCTGAAGTGGCAGTGGGCCGGCCATATAGCTCGAAGAATTGACAACCGATGGGGAAGAAAGGTGCTTGAGTGGCAGCCTCGTACCGGTAGGCGAAGTGTAGGGCGACCCCCACGAGATGGAGTGACGACCTGGTAAGACATGCAGGAAGTCGATGGATGCAGGTGGCTCAGGACCGTGCTTTGTGGCATTCCTTGGGGGAGGCCTATGTTCAGCAGTGGACTTGTGAAAGACTGTAATGAGGATGATGATGATGATGAACGTTAAAGTAGCATTTGTGGTCTAGTGAATTTAGAGATGTACTAAATTGATTAGACATCTACCGACCGGATTAAACAGATTTTCTTCGGTAGAAATTCACTGTTTACTTACTGTGATAAACGAACTCATAGTTCACCAGATAGTTACTGTCGTCTTTGTACACCTGCAGGCAACTTTATACAGAGAAGGCTTCTGATGCGTTGTCATCCTAGAGCCCCTGACGGACTGAGATATAATGCCTCACAGCCTGTAATTGGACGTGGTTATGCAAAAAGGATCCAACCCGAGTTTGTGTCAAAGATGTTGACTTGAATAATAATGTTTGTGGTCTATAGTCTATACCATTATGTGATGTAATAATTTTAGCAAACGTAACACAAATAAGAAGAAAAATTACAAACAGACAGAAACCATACCGATAATTTGAGTTTATGATATTTGATGTATGGATACTTCAAATATCATAAACTCAAATTAAGTTATCGCGGGTTGGATCCTTTTTGCATAACTACGTCCAATTTATACTGACTCTCTATTCCCTTCAAACCTGAACACAGCAGCGCAAGCACTGCTGTTTGGCGGTAGAAAAGGAGTCTTACCATAGGCAGCCCACCTATTATAATTTTCTTCAAGCTATTAAAAATCCATCTAACCTTGACTAATATTGACTTAAATAAAATGCGTAATAAAAGAAGGAAATCAGGTTTTAAAAATACACAATTAAATTTAGTGTCATATAACTCTAGCGTATGTAAATGGCACGTCGTACAGTTGCATCTATCAAATATTAGGTAAATAATCTCCTCCAGACCGAATTTCGGTAACAGCGGCCATTATCAATGGAGACTAGCCATCTACAGGACAGGATTATAGTGCATAGTACGTGCGTAGTGATTACAGGAAGTGCACGACGACTGCGTGCGCAAACACCCTACTCTCATATAAAGATTGTTTTAACAACCCGAGGAAACAAATTTAATCTACTTAATATTAATATTTCCATTTTATTAAATTTTTAAGTACTTATCTATATTTACCTTGCTGACAAACCGAGCTACATATTAACAACCATATCAGACATATCGAAGAATCACTTTCATTTGCAAATGCATTGACCGCTTTTATTCTAAAAATTAGATTAAGAGTAAGTCCTGCAATGAAGAGGACAGTCACCATACAACGCCAGACAGTGGCATCTAGCGGCCGCGTGTATATCGAGAAATAATTCGCTTGGTGCTTCGGCTGGCGGAATAGAAAGCTGTGCCTGTAGTAATATAAAAGCTTTAATACAAACTATAATATTTTTATGTTAAGTAATAAAGTAATAAAAGACCAAAGAGTTCTATGCGCATAAATTCAGATTGGAAAATAGGTACATATTAGTGGACCTATGTTCAGGACGATTATTATAGACGTAGTAGAGCCATGCTGCAGATGTATTATGCAGCACGAATAGGTCGGTTCGACCGGGGAAGGACCCCACTCTCACTGAATTCCAACATCGGTTTGATGTATAATAGCAGCCCAATGTTGGTGTGTTTCGTATGGTGAGTGTAGAGAACCAGAAACCCTTTTACTGAAAACGGTGCTTTCTATCTTAGTCCTCACAGGTCACAACGCATCTGCATTTTGATTCTTAATCGAGGATAGATGTAGATATCTATAGACCACACAACCACTTACCATCTAATGAACTGTGTGCTTGCATGTCACCCTTATTGTGTAAAAGAAAAAAAAAACAGTGGACTTTTATAGGCTGTAATGGATGGATCGTGTTTCGTTGTTCGATGTTTTGTACGTGGTAGAGCCATGCTGCAGCTATATTAGTAG